ATTGTTTTTCTATTAAAATCATCATATTGTGTAATCCAAAACATCATATTTATCCAAAACCTACTTAAAACTTTTTTTTCTATTTCTATCATAATCTCGTCACAAAAGAAATGCAGAATACCTCAACGCAACATATTCTCATAAGAAAGATTACAGCTCAGTACATTCTGTTTGTTTTACTGATGAATGGGACTCTATCTGATATATAATCTTGTTTTGTTAGTATTAAACATGTGTATATTTTTTTAAAAACATAGATAAAAAGGTTTTGTTTTGTTTTAAAACACTAAAAATAGTTTTTGGCAACAGGAAGGTGTGGGATTGAGTTGAAATAATCATATTGTGTGCGTATTAATGCTGTGTTTTAGTGTCTTTTTAATGAAGCTGGGCACAGAGCAGGTATCAGGCTTTGGACGCTCCGCGGTCATTCACGTGCACATTTTGACCTCAGTCACGCCAGAGGAAAACAAACAGTTGTTTCTTTCTTTAATGTGGAAGATGAGAACTCCAGGCCTCATTTTAACTAATGATGATGGAGCATTTTTATCCCAAAGACTTGAGAGAAATGTTCATTTTTTCTCTTTCTGATGGGATTATTCCCTCTAACTCTGTGTAACAACAGCCGCTATCAGATTTCCCGTTCACCTTTCCCTCCGAACTATCCCTTGGCTGGCCTCGGGAGAAAAGGTTTTAATGCGTTTAAAGAGAGAACAATCTGCTTCTCTTCACCGTGAATACGGCCTCTGTCCGACTGCTTGGTTGACGTTCAGCTGCGTTGGCTCTTCAGCCGCGTAGCCGACGCTCATTTCCAGGGATCCTCGCTGCGAGTGCAGCAGTGAGTGTCCTTTGTTGGATCCCTGATGTCAGAAGACATCACAGCCTTTCCTGCCTACCAGGGACTCTTCCACCAGACAGAACCTGCGTGTCTCCGAGTGGACGCCAGGAATCCGCTGACACAGCGGACTCCGCACGAGGGCCGAAATACTTCAGATATTTGGAGAAATTGCGTCTCTGCTTCTCGTTCTGTGGTATGAATGAGGAGGTTTGCAGAGTCATTTTCTATAGTGTGTTGTTTTTTTTTACTTATGTCCTTCCCTTCATCAGTTCACTTCATAGTAGTTCATATTTTAGATAACACCTCTTTGCATATCGAACATTACAGGAATCTGATCGTACCGAACCGCCTTCATACACAGCGTCTCCGCTTCACACTTGTGTCCATCCAGTGTCATCGAGACTTTGTTCAAAGCGGACGTGAAACACGTGGCTTCAAGTAGACAAAGGTCTAGGGATACATCAGCGCCAGTTACCTTCCCCAAGACGGATCGCCTCATGGACGTCCTGGTGACACTCTGGTGACAGTAAGAGGAAACTTCCATTTTGTCCGACACGTCCTGTTATTCAGACAAATCAGCAGCAGCCCGTGGAAACCCAGAAGATGCTGACGGGACCCTGGACGTCCTCCAGGTCAGCAGGGGTGTCGGGCTGCAGCCCCCGCAGGGAGAACTTTACCAGAACCAGACGCCCGTCAGCAGATCTGCACTCTGTATCGAAACGTATATGTAAATGTGAGATGTATGAGTGCGTCTTCATGGAATGAGAACGAAATCAATAGCAAGGAATCCTTCAGCCGATTGTCTGTGTCTCGTAGCACACGTGATTGGTTGACTATTAGCTATCATTCAGAGATGTTTTAGAGCGTTAGATAAGAAGTGGGTGTGGTCATCAGGACTTGACTTTTTGTTTTGCAAGCCGATGTTCTTAATTTGTGGATCGCGGGCGTCGCTACATTCGCCATAAACGAAAGTGACCATTTCGGAACCGAGGAGGACGTAGAGATGACCTGTACATATCTGGTAGAGACCTGTCAATCAGCGTGTAGCCCCGCCCTAAAGTGTCCCTGGCAATATGGTTTATCAGAGACCTGTCAATCGGCATGTAGCCCCGCCCTAAAGCATCTCCTGCTTTATGGTCTGTTTGACTCTAAATGGACCATAAGTTACTGAATGAACATCAAGCTGTACTGAAGAAGAGACTGAGACCATGACTCATGTTTACAATGTTAACTGAGGGAATCAATGAAGAGAGAGAATCATTTTCTCATAGACGTCTATGGGACCAGAGGCGTCGCCCCCCCTCCACCCCCCACCGGGTGTCGGTAGAGGAAATGCAGCTTCTCGACATGAAGCATCGTCTTCACTGGACAGAACCGGACGTTTCCGCCTTGTTGTTTATCTTCCTTGAGCTTTGGTTTGTTTCTTTTTCAGCGAGAAGGGAAATAGTTTCATGCAGAATAAAACTCAATCCCAAAGGGCATCTTGGGTCTCTGGAATTGAGGCAACTTTGATGATGATGATGATGATGATGATGAATCTATCGTCACTGAAGTATCCTCAGTTTGAGGTACGCAGCAGAAAGGGTTGGTTCCGCTCATCTGAATGCATTTAACTGCTCTCCCTCGGCCCTCTTTCCTCTTTCTTTCCTCTGCACATTGTGCTGGTTATGCAACCCGTGTGATGTCCCCCGGGCCTCTTTCTCGTTCCTCCTCCTCCAAAGAGCAGGAGGAATGAAAACAAAAAGATGTTGAAGAGTGCACCCCCCCCCCTCCTCCCAGACAATATGCCTGGAATATTTTAAGTGTTTTGTGCTCCACATTTGAAGCCGGGAAAGGCTGCTCTGAAGTGCAGCGTCTTAACTTTGAAGATGAATGTGTGGTAATATTACTCATCCCGTTGTACGTCCTCTAGCTCAACATCACAAGCGCAGCGAGTTTTCATTCATCGCTTCTTTAAATTTAATCCATGATATGTCACAATGACGTTTTTAGAGCTTGTACTGAAGAAAACATCTCACGTTTGGATTTTAGCTCAGATGTGGAGGATTTTTCTTGACAAAGACTGATAAATATGTCCATGGCTGTATAGTATAAAAACAGTGAAGGCTTCAGGGGGCCTTTGGTTCAGAGAAAGAGAAAACTCAAGGCCAACAGACAAGCTTTTGTTGAACTCCAAATTCTCCCTTAAATTAGTGCTTTAACGAGGTCAAGAGCCTTGATGTTAATCTGACAGAGGTGAATCAATTATTGACATCACATGCCGTTCGATTCAAGTAATCTCTACTTTGAACTGTTTGCGGTATTTGATTCTTCGTATAAAACTGAAAAATCGACCGAGAAATTATTTTCCATAATCACATTAAACATCTTGTTTTCAAACCTGATAGAATTGTCTTCATGCAGCTTGTTGACAGCTACTGATCTGGTAAACAACTGTCAGTATTTCATCTGTTATTACGAAACGTGGGAATGTCAGTGAGTCAGCGATGCACAGATGTGTACGAGCAAAACACTCGACTAGATCACAGCGCTTTGGATAAAGATAATGTGATTTTAAATTAATATCAGGATTATAAAACATTGGAAATGAAGGCGCCTTTCCAACAAATCCAATAGAAGCATAATGCGTTCACTCTTAATTGATCAGATTCCCTAGGAGGTGCTCACCTCCCTCTCCTCTTGGAAAATCTTTTCTCCGAATTTTTAGACATTAATCTTGTTCATCTCATAGGATTCTTGGACATTACTGTAATTATTTCCGAAAAACAGGCACATAAATCATTTTAAGAGAATGCAAGTTCTGCACAACAACTGGTGCAAAATATCTTTTAAATGTAACGTCCCTATGAATCTCCTGGATTGCAGATTTGAAAAGACGGCAGGAGCTTGATAACATCAAGAGAAAGGCGGCACATCTTCACGTCTGAGTTAAGGGACCTACGACAATGTTTTTACAAGAAAAATGACTTTCAGCGCAAAAAATGTTTAAAAAAATGATGATGAAAAAAGTCATGAAAAAAATGAAGATATGTTATGGAAATGGAAAAAAAGTTAAAATATGCAATTATGAAAAAAGTCTAAATATATTTGATAAAAAATACGGAGAAAAAGTTTCTTTTGTTTGAAAAATATTTTTAAAAATATATATATATATATCAAACTGTTTTTTGAAAAGGAAATGTCACAGAAACATATTTGATCAAAAGATATCATGGAAAAAAAGTAAAAATATTTAATAATGAAAAATGCCATGGAAAAAAAAGTAAATATGGAGAAAAAAAGTAAAAGAATATTAAGTCAATTTCTTTTTTTAATCAGGAATAAAAGTAAAAATAGATTTGGTCAGTAAATACCTTGGAAAAAAAGTCAAAATATATTTGATTAAAAAATATGGAGATTTTTATTTTCTTATATGATGGAAAAACATAAGAATTTTCTTTGAAAATATTAAAAATATGAAATAATGTAAAATGTCACAGAAAAATATTTGATCAAAATATATCATGGAAAAAATGCTTAAACAAAAGTCAAAATATTTAATGATGAAAAAAGTAAAATAAATATTTGGTTGAAAAATATACTGGAAAAAAGTCTAAATGTATTTGCTTAATAATGTCATGAAAAAAAAGTCAAAACATTAGGTCAGAAAATGTTTTGGAAAAATATATTAGATTAAAAAAGGCATGAAAAGAAAAACTACTACAGTGCAGTACATAAGTAATTGCTACATAGGAGGTATTATCTGAGCTATTATTTAGTTATCACCTGGAGGTTACTTAGGGGCATAGTCAGGTGGGACCAGCATGGACCTGGGTGAAAAATGGATTTTACCAGTGAGACACAGCGACAGAGCACTGCATAGAAGGCAGACAGCTTTATTGTAAGTGTGTTTGGTGGATTCTATCTAAATAAATGAGAAACAACAAGAAAAGAACGCCTGGACAATACTGCGTGTCTTACTGCGTGAAAGGGAACAAAACTAGGTACAGCAGTGGCCCTTTGACATTTTAAGATTTGTAGGAAAAATGGCCACTACAGGGATTAAAATGTCAACATGTTGGCATATTGATCCACCTGGTTCCGCCACTACGCGGCACTAATGACCCGTCATACCCGCTCAGACGCTCGCAAAGGGGCGTTCCCGGTCTAACGCGAAGCTCCGGACATTTCAGCACCGGGGCTCAGTGCGGAGGGAGAGCCGAGCGGGGTGAGACACGCTGCCGCCGCCCCCACCTCACCCGGTGGATACGCGCCGAGATGTTCCTCCTGCAGAAAACCACAGCTATTGTTTTCAAATAAATCGACGTCAAAACCCCGGACGGCGAAGAGGAGAAATCCTCGCGTCCTCGCGTCCGGTGACCGGAGCGAGACACCGGGGTCTGCGGTCCCTTTGTTCGGGTCGGGTTTTCCCGTCCTTCGCCCCTCCAACATGGACCATGTAGAGAAGGAGCTCCGGGCGGATAACGAGGCGGAACACGACGACGAGGAAGTGGACCCCAGAATCCAGGTGACTATCGGTACTAACGTTCGATGCACCGATTAATCGATCTGCAGGGTTCGAAACGTCAGAGAGCTCAGTTTACCGTCATGGTCATTTCAACTAACGTGGGTTAAACTGGTGCTCATCCTCTACATCGTGCACATTTGTGTGTAAACAATAGCGGTTGTAAGCAAAGGGACAGGATTTCAAACTCTGCAAAATGAAGCATTACTGTGAAAAACCGATAAATAAAACTACACTAAGGATTATCATTACTAAGGTTCTTGCTCGAACGTGTCTCGATTAATCGTTTGAAGAAAATGTTTTGCAGCAAACAATTATAACGTTTTGATTCTTTTCATAAATATCTAATTGTGAGATCTACTTTAAGCCAAAAAAGCCGATCAACTTGAAGCTGAAATGTCAATCAAAAGATATAGTTTCTGATTCTTGTAATAAATATAGGATGCTGTGCCAATAAGTGTTGTGTTTTTTTTTTGAAACACTGGAAGAACGCAAATTATGGGAGAATTAGCTTTGAATATTAGTGGTACAGTGAATGTATTGATACATTCTTTATCATTTCTATTAAACACCTTTCGTAGTAGTAAAAACGTTCCGTCTTCATGCCACCTTCCACCAAGCCGACCATTTCCTCACGTGAGATGAGGATTCATGAGAACGTCCAATCAGTGCATCATAAGACTGTGAGAAGTGGGCGTCGTCACGGAAACGTCACCCGGTGGCTTGGGGGCCGCCGTTACCGAGCATCGATTTTCCTGTCGCCATCTTTGCTTCTTTCCCCAACTGGTCGCGGAGTGACCGCTCAATTGCAGTAAGCCGCCCTAATGTTCACTGGCTTTAATGACTCTAAATAGACTCCCACCCAACCAGAGGAGTCGCCCCCTGCTGGCCGGGGGAGGGAATGCTGGATTTAAGAGACTTTCGCGCTAGGCTTCAATCATCTGGTCCTCTTTTTAAAAGAATTCATTGGATTTAATACTGTGCCAATTACAGCTTAAGTGGTTTTCTTCTTAAAGAACTAATGCACTTCTCCGTGGTTCTCTTCCAGGGCGAGCTGGAGAAACTCAACCAGTCCACCGGCGACATCAACAGATGTGAGACGGCGCTGGAGGTGAGTCCATCACGTGAGGAGATCTTACTGACGGCTCTACTCGGATCAACTAGCGGTGATCAAGCAGCTCCCACAGCTGAACCTTGAATCCTGTTAAAACCCAACCAAGGGAGCCGGCTGACTTTTATGTGTGTCGGCAGTAACCTGTCAATCTTTACGGAGGTAAAAGTCCAGAGTCGCGCTACTCGACTGAGCTCAAACAAGCTAACGTTTGGTTAGCTTTGGTGCTAACAGCTCCTCCGAATGGAAGATCTTCTCCCTGAAGAAGCTGGCTTCCAGCTGGCCTGTGAGGTCTTGTGTTTGGTTTCCTCTCATGACCTCGATACGCCGTTTGTTACGCTGCTCCTGGTCGACTGTTGAACGTCGGGTATCGCTGCGTAGGTCGACCTTCTTCTTCTGTGGTCAACACTGGGCCCGTTGTACCAGCGTGACCCGTCGACGGTTCCGCCCTTTTATTTATGGCTCCGGATGTTGTTTTCACGGCCCAACAAAGACGCCTGCTCATTCTAACAAGCGCTGCTACGACTCAGCAAGACGTGTTTGTTTTGTTTTTTATGGAATAAATGATCGGCTCTGATGACTCGCACATGCGACCATTTGTATTGATGCAATTTAGCATTGGCGTGTCGGGCGTTCCCATGACAACGTTAAGTCACATCTCTGTTCGCTGTGTCACTTTTCTTTCGTCCTTCGTCGGGTGGGAAATGAGTGACCTTGGGGTCAAACCGCCGGTCATAGTTTCACGGGCGTTTCCGTCTTTTCTTCCTTTTTTTTTGGCGTGAAAGCCGGCGCTTTTCCCCAAACAGCTGCGGCGTTTCCTCTTCTAGTGTCTCTGTGTCAGCGAGGGGTGGACAACACGTGGACAACACGTGGACGCCATCCGGACGATCCCATCAAGCGCACGTCTGCCCCTCCTACGCCCCCGAAGGTCGAGGAGGAGGAGTTACTGCGGATGAAAACGCCATCAGCGAGTAGCTCCGGGGAGACGGTCCGTCCCTCGTTGGTCCCGCTGGGACCAAACGGCATCGTTCCATCAACATGAGCGTCATAAGCGTGATGGTCTGAGGTCTTATCAGTCGGAGCGTCTCGTCTTTACGAGGACAACGCGCAGCACAAAGCGCCCACACGCAGGCGACCGTTTGCTTGGTCGACAGAATGATGTGGCGCGTCACGTGGCGCGTTCCTCAGGGGGGGCGGCGAGCTGCGAGGCCTCCGGAGGCTGTAACGCACGTTTACTGAGAAGAGGAAGTAAAAGAGGAAAGGTGTTGAGTGCTCATAGAGCGAATCACACCTGGCGTCTGTTTTCAACGCCATAAAACCCTTAAACCCTTCGTCAGCACGGGGGGGGGGGCAGCTTAGATTATATTGAGTTTATTGTAGAATTTAAAGGGAAATGATAGTTTTCGCTCCTTTTCGTTCAGGCAGCAAAGAAGAAATGTAGACTGGACCACTACTCTCCTGCGCTGATGCTCAGGTGACCCACTGAGGCTTTTCTCTCCTCCCGTCAGGACGCCCGGCAGAGGTTCCGCTCGGTTCTGGTGGAGGCCACGGTGAAGCTGGACGAACTGGTGAAGAAGATGGGCAAGTCTGTGGAGGAGTCCAAGCCCTACTGGGAGGCCCGCCGGCTGGCCAGACAGGTCACTTCCTGTGTTTAGACTGTTGTTGTTGTTGTTGTGTTTAGTGCGCTTCGACGTGACGCTTGTTGAGGAACACGAGAACAACTAGTTGATCTTCTATTTGCAGAAATTGGTGAAGAGCGAGAAGTGCGCAATCACGTCAGTCCACAATCCCACTTCCCTTTTTGTGTGTGTGTGTGTGTGTGTGTGTGTGTGTGTGTGTGTGTGTGTGTGTGTGTGTGTGTGTGTGTGTGTGTGTAAAGGGGGAAGCTGCCACCACCCTCACAGCTGTAGCAGCTCGGCCCCCCACCTTCACATGTGGTCTCTCTATTTACGGTTTTCAGTATTCATAACTTCCAGTTCCTGTGAAACGCCCCTGAAGTCACACTTCTGCTTTTTCGTGTCCGCGCTGCGCTGAGAGCTGTTTCTACTGAGTCACGTTTAAACTTAAGTTTACAATAAGAGACGTTGAAACGCAGTTTAAACTAAGACAGCTCGCTGCTTGTTCTGGTTTTATGGGTCACGTGACATGTGAGGCGCCCCCTGTGGTCGTGGTCGAGATGAGGAAGTGCAGCATGTGATGATGTCGTGGTTCCTACCCGGCTCACCTGCTGGTCCCCGTCTCCTCCCAACGCTTGCTTTCACTTCTCGAGCTTGCGTGTGCCACACATTTCATTGGGGGGGTCGGGGGGGTCGGGGGGGCGGCGATCTGGGTGCTTTTGTTTGGACCGTTCCACGATGGAGGCTGAAGTTAGCGCTGTTAGCACAGTTAGCTGTCACACAGCAGCACTGTTGAGGAGCGGTTTACAATCTTTATTGTTCGGCTGCAGACGTCCACGCCGGCTCCACGTTGACTTTTTTAATGTTACGTTGCTTTATATCAACCAAGAGTGAAAACCAAGATCTAATAAACTGTCTTTTTTTCTGTTTAGCTGACACATCTTTGGGATGTGATCCAGAGCAGGTGACTCTACCATGTCTGATCCATCAGATCGTCTCTGAACAAGGCGCCGTCCCCTCGGGGGCCCGACGCGTCTGACGTGGATATTTATAGGGATCACTTCTCGTTTGTGCTCCTCTGATGTTCAGAATGAAGCTGTTCTCAGTCGGGCGGAACTCGACACAAATCCTCTTTGTGTCTTTTTCTTGATTATTCACAGGCTAAAAATACCTCCACCGGCGTCTCTGAGTGGACGCGGTCGGCTTTTGTTCGATGACCTCAGCGGAGCGCCGTCAGCGCGGGGTCACTGGTTCTGGTTGTTGGGGACAGAAGGACATCTCATCAACTCGCTCGTTTTCCCACTTGTTCTTTCATAGTTTCATGTTTCTTCACCATCACCTGTGACTCTTCTATAAGATCTGTCACCTTCCCTCCATGACGTCCCTGTGGTCCTGGCGGCGTGCAGAGAGCGTTTAGCTCAACTCGTTTTCTACTTCAGGAAATCCTTCTCTTGTTCCTCGGTCTGATAAGAAACACATTATTTGCAATCGCACAACGGCAGCGGGCCGCGCCCAGGGAGCGGTGGCGGCGGAAGTGGGCGGGGCCTGGATCCAACCTTTGTTGGTTGGGTCAGAAGATAAAATACTGAAGCTCTCAGCTGATTGTTGATATGAAAGGAAAATGAAACTCCTGCAAATCCGCTGACGCTGAGCCGAGTCCTTCGACGCCTCGATTGAGATGTTGCTCGGCTCGGTTTGTTCGGTTTGAAACTGCGTTCGTTGCGGATCCAGATGAGTCGGCTTCAGTACGACGCCGTCCGGCAGGCAGTGAAGGTGTGACGCGTCAGACTCGCGTCTCTACACCAGGTTCCAAAAGTGTTCCAATTATTTGCAAAACATTAAGGGAGAGACATGACTTGTACAGCCACCTTTTGTAAGATTAAAATGATAAATGTACAATTAATAAATATCCTTCAGCTCCTGCTTTTACGTACACGCTAGCTAACGTCAAGTTTTGGCTGAAATGTGAGGGGGACATCTGACGTCACCAGAGGGACGGAGGAAACCGAGAGTTAATAGTCACGTCTCTTAACTTTACATTTAGAATTTTATATATTTTAGCCGCTATGTGTGGTTAGTTGTAAATGAGATGCAATCTGCCCGTGTGTCCTCGTCCTCGTCCTCGTCCTTATTGCTCCTTTAAAGTGACGTAAATGGAGTTTATGGAAACTTTGTCGCAGTGTTTCAGGGTATTTCTGTAGTTTTGTTTGTCCTGATTCACAATGAATATGACACAATGTTGCAGTCGCCTCTTTGTTCCGTCTGTTCACACGGCAACAAACAAACAAACATCACGCACGAGCAAACTGTTCTGTCATTGGTCCAATTTGAATGAAGACTTTTTCTTTATGATTGAGGGGGCTGAGGGGGCGTGAACCCAGTAGGGATGTAGAAGGGGGAGGGGTGGGGGCGTGGCCTAAAGGTTTGGGGACCGTTGCTCTAGAGGATGACGCAGGGGGGCGGAGCCACCTTCAGCAGTTGGAGTTTAAAGGACAGAAAGACCCATCGGTTTGCAAATGGCGGGAGACAAAAAGACATTAATTCACGTTTAATGTGAGGGGTCAGTAGAGGACGGATCCAGAGCGTCCCGTTACAAGGACGCACGTCCTCCCCGAGGGAGGGAGGGAGACGGCTCGTCCCTCTGGTCTCTGGGATGACGTGAAGGTCAACGGAAAGGAGGCCCTGTCTCCCCAGGAGATCTCGCTTGGACAGCTCTGACTGATGGGGACACGCTGCCGCCGTCCTCCCCGCTCGCTCTGCTGAGCTTCATAAACCTTCCTTTGTTGCGTCCTTGTTCCTGTGTGTTTGGGGGTAGTGAATAGTAACACAATAAATAAGGCAACACAATTTGTATGTTCTCAGGTTGATAATTTCTCATATTGGTCTACAGGACCTCTGCAAGGATGAACGTCTTCTGGGAAGCACCAATAATGATGAACCTGTTCGTTGATATAATTGGCGGAGGTGTTAGATGGTGCTCAGTGGTCTCTATTGGCGCTTTAAACTATTTAGTTCCAACAGCTCAGTTTTTTTTGAATCACGTCTTTAAGGCTCTCTTGAATAATTGAACGTGTTTTTCCTCCCAGTGAAGCTCTGCGTCACTCAACGCGTGGTTCTCCTCCTGGAGGAGCATTTACAATATGAAGCCGCTGAGCAAACGAGAGCGACGTCGGGGTTAAGGGTGGTGTAGGGTGGAGCGCCCAGAGGAGACACACTGACACTAGATGGAGGTGGACAGGGAGCAGGAGGCTGCCGTCATTCAGGTGGACATTTTACCAATGCAATATTACCCAGAAACCTTAGCGCTGCTGCTCGTAGGGCCGTGCATTGCAGCAGAGTCGTCACAGGAATGAATCAACTTCTGATCGACACCCCCCCCCTGGTGATGACTCATCACATGTCTCTCCACATCCTTCCTGTATTGCACACACGCCGCTCAGTAATCACATTACAGGTCGCTAAGCGACTTACATTACATTTATAACCCGTGGCTTTTTTTACATTTTTTTTTACATTTTTGCCCGTGGAGCAAATGGGGGGTCAGGTGTCTTGCTCAGGGACACTTCAACATGGGACATGGAGCGGCCGGGGCTCAAACCACCAACCTTGTGGTTCCCAGTGCAGCCTCTTTACAGGCATCCACCGAGCGCCACGACGACCTACGACTGGAGTCGTCAGCGGATTGTGGAAATGTGACATTGTTATTAACCAAGCCCAGAATCCAGACAACAAAAGACTTGAATTGCTTTGATGATGATGATGATGATGACCCCCCTCCCCTCCCCCCTCTGCCCTACAGGCCCAGCTGGAGGCCCAGAAGGCCACGCAGGACTTCCAGGGCGCCACTGAGGTGCTGCGGGCGGCGAAGGAGACCATCTCCCTGGCGGAGCAGAGGCTCCTGGAGGAGGACGACCGGCAGTTTGATTCCGCCTGGCAGGAGATGCTGAACCACGCCACCCAGCGGGTGAGAAGGAGGGGGGGCCGGGGGGCGACACCAGAGACGGAGTGTTTTAGGTCTCCTTAGCGGATATTTCAGGGCTTTTGATTTTATTATTTTTCATATACTTTCATTTTGAGCGCTGTTGATATTAATACTTTGAAGTTATAATTAACGGTCTTACCGTTCACTTCATTACATTGTTTCACACGATGCGAAAGATTTTCAGCGCGTTCTTGGCGGTGTGTTCTGATTGGCTGTCCCAGGTGATGGAGGCGGAGCACACCAAGACGAGGAGCGAGCTGGTCCACAAGGAGACGGCGGCCAAATACGCGGCGGCAATCGGCTGCTTGAAGCAGCTGGAGAAAAAACTCAAACGCACCATCAACAAGTCGAAGTAAGCGACTCCGTCTGCTGCTCCGCCCTCGGCGACCACGTCGGGTGCAGCTGCTCGCTGGTGGTGCGCTCGGTGTCGGGGAGTCGGGGATTGAATATGTTCCGCATTTTAAAAACTGCAATTCTACTTTGTGGTGGAAATTGCGGATTTAAATTCTCCCCCGACACAAACAAACGGTTGTTCCTCTGCAGATACAAAGTTTATGTACCAATCGTAACGATCAGTTAATAAAAAAAAATGTGCTGCTGAAATTGCTAAAAATAGAGGCGACAAGTAGATAAACATGCTGCTGATCCGTTGATCAGAAGCAGTTAATCATCTATGATAATAATAATTGTGCATGATACGTAATACTTTAATGTTAGAAGCATCTTGAAGGCCCAACTTAAAGCTTTTTCCTTTAATTTATCAACTCAAGTTGCACTTGAAATGTCGCTAAAACAATTTCTTCATATGATGAATAAATCATAACCGCTGGTCGGTTGAGTGTGTTTCTCTCAGTGAATTATGTCCTCTCAGCGGGACGTTAATCCGCTCTGCGTCACGACCCTTTCATCTCCTCCTCCAGGTTGCCATGGTGACGATGTGGGTACCGCTGCTCTTTTTCTGGGTTGCTGTTTTTTTTTTTCCCCTCTGATCTAATCGTCTCTCCTCCTCTTCCTCTGCAGGCCCTACTTCGAGATGAAGGCCAAGTACTACCTGCAGCTGGAGGTAAGCGGCGGCATCTCTGGCTTAAGACCCTCAAGGTGCGACTACCTCCACCACAGATGAGTTCATCATCATTACCCCCCCCCCACACAGAACCTGAAGAAGAACGTGGACGAGCGGCAGGCCAAGCTGTGTCAGGCCAAAGGCGAGTACAAGGCGGCCCTGAGGAACCTGGAGAAGATCTCCGACGAGATCCACGAGCGGAGGCGGAGCTCCACCGTGGGGCCCCGGGGGTGCGGCGTCGGCGCCGAGGGCGACGGAGCCGCTGTGGACGACATGGCCGACTTGAAGGGGGAGTCGGACAGATTATCCAGTAAGTATAGACCCCCCCCCCCCCCTCAAAGCAGACACCACAATTTGGCGTTAACCTCAATGTGCCGAACATCAGACAACGGCCGGTGCGTTTGTGTGCTCTGATTTATGTCAGTAAAAATGCAAACTCTTCTCCCTCACATCTTATCCTTCCTCCTGTCTTCTATTTATATCTCCTCCACATCTCATGATGTCCTCCCCCCGTCCTCCTGCAGTGGCGTCGGAGTGCTTTGATGACGAGGCGGGGGGGCGCTGCAGCATCATGTCGGAGGAAGACTTGGAGACTCGCTCCACCTGCAGCCTGGGCAGCAGCCCTCAGGAGCTCCTGTCGCCCCGCCCCTTCGCCGGCTCCTCCTCCTCCTCCTCCTCCTGCTCCTCCTCCGCCTCTCCGTCCCCCACCCCGTCGTCCTCGTCCAGGTTCCCCCCGTCCAGGCCCTGCAGTCTGGACCTCCCTGGCACCGCGTCGCTGTCGGACTTCGGCCTCATCTCGCCGGTGTTCGGGCCTCGCAGCGCGTGCAGCGGAGCGTCGTCCCCGGAGTGCGAGCTGGAGAGAGGTGGGACCGTCCGGCGGTGATAGATAGTGATGATGATGATGGAGAAACTGATCAGCTGACTTTACAAAAACAACATAAGTCACTAAGTTCTTCCAGCTTCTTTAGATTAAAGTAACTAAACTGCTGATGTTTTTAACATGATTTCTATTGAACATTTCTCTTATTTGCAGAAGACGTTTGTCGATGAACCAAGAAGAAAATGTGCAGATTAAAACAATGACCCTCTGTGTATTAAACAGCTCGTCTATTTGTGGACACACACACACAGAGAACCGGAGGAAGTGAGATGGATGAGGTTTAGCAGTGCATTGTGGGTACTTGTGTGCATTGAAGAGTCCGCGGCGCTCCAGTGACTCCGCGCCGAGGCTCATTCTACGAATGACGTGTGTTTGCTTCATGTGGGGCTTTAAATCCCAAGAATACGAGACTTTAAATGGAACACGAAGTGCGTGCGCGTTTGTTACTTGCCGACGCGTTGGTCACAGGATGCGTTCAAGGACCCTCGAGCTCCCGGTGCGCCGCTTTAAAGGGTTCATAGTTACCGGCCAATCGCTGCCTATTAAATAACCTCCTGCTGTGCTGCAGGTGACCGGGCCGAGGGCGCCGAGGGGGACCTGGACAACGCCGCGCCCCCCAACAACAACAGCAGCAGCCGGAGCTCCGCCTCCAGCAGCCAGAGCTCCGCCTCCAGCAGCAGCAGCAGCAGGAGGAGCTTCAGCCTGGAGACCCGCTTCAGCTTCCTGAACCTGCGGCGCCCTCGAGGCCCCAAAAACACCAAGGACGGGGACGGCTGCTCCCAGAAGGCCGAGGGGGCCGTGGTCCTGGTCAAAGGAGTCTGAGGACATGAGAGCAGCTTGGTGGACGGATTCTGGCTCATTTTTGACTTGAACTCTCTCACTAAAAGGCTGATAAGCTCCTCCCCAGCGAGGGTTGCACTCGCTGCACCTTTTGGACTCTCACGCCTGAGAAATGATGTCAGAAACTATAATATGTAACTGAAGGGCGGCAGCAGGATGGAGAGAAACTCTCCGTTATACTTTTCATTTTTTCCACTGAAAAAGCTTCCGTTACAAAAGTAATTCAGAGCGCGTCTCACCTGACGAGTCCGTTATACACTTTGTCAGCTGATCAAACGCAGTCCGTGCGAAGGAATTGAAGTCACGTGTGCAGATGTTCTAATAACTTGTGTGAACCTGCTATTTGTATTTAATACGTGGCTGTGTGGATATTCAAGTGCAACGTGTAAACCGCTGTGATGCAGTCGTGTGTGTGTGTCGGGTGCAGAAGATCAGTTAATAAAAGCGCTTTGTCACCAAGATGGTTTTCATTTATCTCTAATGTTGCTGATATAAACATGACTTAACATTTAAAATGTGTTGCAATAACGTAAATACAAAGTGAGCCCTTTGTAAACTCATTGTTACTTCTAGGTTTATAAATGCAGTTCATGTATAATTTAATTTTCCATTTCTGATCAATGTAAAACCAGCACTGATCTTTTATGCTGGGGCCATTTTACTCAATGTACTCAGCGTAGGCTACTTTAACGTGCTATACGATGACCTTTTAAGATAATACTATTATTTTGACATAATAAACTTAAAAGGCAAAAGAAGTAATTGACATGTTAAACTAATTTAACGTACTACACGGTCACTTAAAATATTTTTTAAATAATAAACCCTCCCAAATAAATACACAAGCCAGGATGCTATAACACGTCGGTCGAACCGACATTTAGTGCAAGTTCTGCAAACGCTGGATGATAAATCACCTGGCAGGTCGCTGCAGGTCCTGATGCATCATTTAAAGTACACGACCTGTCAGCAATCAAACAACTGATATCATGGCATTAATGACAGTGACACCACCCACCACTAATCAACAAATACTTGGCATTGGATATTTAACTTTTCAACCTTTTAAGCGAAGCATTTAGAAAACCCACGAGGACTAAAAATGATTCAAAGAAACAAAACAATGACAAATATCAACACAAATAACCAATTCATACATCGAGCCAAAAAGTCGTCAGCTGTTTGCGCCTTGTGTAAACGCGATGACTTAAACCTCTGTGGGACACAAACAGCGACGTGTAACTTTGGCCGTTGTGAGATCTTTACATTCAGATTCAACATTCTCTACAAACAGGAAGTGAGAGGAACGAGAGCAGCTTCCTGAAAACAGACACGTCCATCAGAGTATTGCAGAAAAAAAGTGCCGTATGTTAAGAAGTACACAGGAGGACGTGCGCTCGGTCAAACGTTGACTGTTTTTTTTTTTTAAACCTCTAGAAAAAACCCTCTAAAAAAAGACAGTCGAGCCAACACACACACACACACACACACACACACACTAGTCCTGGAGGTGCTGCTCAAAAAAACTACGCTTTCACTATACTTTTTTCTCAAAGACTTTTTAAATCTAAGTCATCAGATCTCATGAGACGTCTTTGCAGCAATTATCCTCCTCCATCTCCTACTCCTTCATTATCCTCCTCCTTCATTGTCATCCTCCTCTTCTGGGGGTTTTGCAGTAGAGTCTCGAGTGCAACCCCAACGTTGTCAGAAATAAGATTTAGATTGTATTCATACTAGCAGCGTATTCGTGTTAACGTGACGTACATTATTAATTATGGGGGGGTGGAGGGGGCTTTGTGGGTCTGATGTGACAGACCTGTTGGACTAATGTGTGCTGCAGTTGAGCCCAGGCTGCGGTCATGTGATCACCGTCGTCCACACACAGTAAGGAAGCACAGGATTACTAATCCTCGATGGGGGGCATTTTACTCTCATCCTCTTCTCTTGGGTTTCATTTTCTCGATGAAGTTTAAAAATAGTCATGCGGGGTTTGATGAACCAGGTGAAGAAGGCTTGTAATTCATGGAGGTCCCATCCAAAGCCCCCCCCCCCCAGTGCCCCGCCTTCACTGGAGCTGCGAGACCTTGAGGGGGGAGGTGCTGGAGAAGTCCAGGAAGAAGGGTCCTTCCTGTTTGGGCAGGAAGGTGGTGGGGACGACGTTGTAGAGGCCGGCTGGGACGTGGTCCGCCTCCATGTAGCAGAAGCCACACCTGCAGGGGGAGAGGCAACAATCAGGCAGGTAACCATGGCGATGAAAACACTGTTTACATACAGAATAATGACATGTTGATTCTTCCCCCCCCCAAATACCCACACACACCCAGCGTACCTGTAATCCCCACTGCTCCTCTTGGGGGGGGCAGCCGGGCCGGGATCCCCCACCAGGGACACGGTCACCATCTCGAAGCCGACGCTGTACTGCCTGCACACACAGAAACATCCGACTTCCTCTTGTTCCGTAGTTTGAAATCTCACACTTTCTTCCCTCTGTTGTTGTGAAATGTACCCGTTGTTTTTAAGCGACATCCCTCCATCCGCTGAACACACGCTGGTGATATTTACTCTTCAGCCGTCTCTTAGCTGGAAGCAGGACTCTTCAGTCGTCATATTTAGACTCTTTAAGACACGTAGAAGCTTCTAGACTCACCGACCTATTAAACTGACTTTATTTCAGACATCAACAACGCGCCCACTTTGAGAAGAAGAAGTGCTCAATCAAAAGGTTCCCACGTTTGTGTGTGTTTGTGTGTGCTCTCTGTAAACGCATCATCATCGTCTCTCTGTGTGTGTGTGTGTGTGTGTGTGAGAGAAGCCAAGGCAGGAGATCACTGAGTGTTAATGAAAGGTCTCGGAGTCTCTCTGCCAACGAGTCATTGTGCAGATCTGAAGCAACTCTTCAGCTAAAAGCTTCAAAAGCAGCCAAGTGTCACAACGAGGAAGCTACACGTTTAAGATGATTTTTCTTGCAGCTTTTGTGGTTTCCAACCAGCCTTCAGAGACTTGGACTGAGAACTTGAGGCGCCATCGGAGCTCTGCAGTAACAGCTGGAGCTCCTCACAGATCCCCACCACCTCGTTCACGGAGCCTCACCTGGATCCTCGGAGCTCCACCAGCAGCGGCCCCGGCCGCTCCACGTTGATCTGGTAGATGGGGTTGAGCTTGTACGAGTCCTTGTAGTTCCCACAGCCGCCGGCGCTGGACCCCTTCCACTGGCCGTTGACCTGGAGGCAGAAGCAGGACGACTGGAACCCCAAAGCACAGTGAGAGACGCGTGACGGCTGCAGCGGCGTGCGGGTTACGTACCCGTTTGGTCTGGGTGAAGGGATTGAGGATCTTGGAGAAGGTGAATTTGCATCCGGAGAACACCTGCAGAAGGAAACACAACCCGGTAAGAAATCTTAGTAAATATGAACTGAAGATGTCGGGTGTGACTTTGATAAAAGAGGAAAGTGGAGAAGCAGCAAACACACCTGCAGGCAAAACAAGTCAACAAGCACCACGACATAGAACGTCAAATCATTTCCCCTTTGGGTCAGATGTATGCAGAAGGGATCTACCTGCACGACCGGGTCCTCCTGGTCCAACACACACAGAGTGCGACCCCCAGTGGACTTTATAGGAATAGCAGCTACTTTTATAGAAATGCAATCTATGTCTTTCTGTAATTTCTCACAATAGCAAAGTCATCCGCCGGACCGGTTACTCAGACGCACTCCATCTCCATGGTTACTCAGACGCACTCCATCTCCATGGTTACTCAGACGCACTCCATCTCCACGGTTACTCGGGCGCATTTCCTCGAGGCCTTTTCTAAAGCTAAAGAAAAGTACACTCTTTTTTTCTGTTTTCTCACCCGCAGTGTGTAGTTGATGGTGTTCTGTTTCTCGTACTGGGAGACCACCAGCGTGAAGGTGTGTGTCCCTGCGCTGGTCAGCCTCATCTTGGTCAGGTAGTGGGGGCTGTTGATTCGGATCCCGTCGATGTAAGGGGGGGGGTCCGCTGTGGGGGGGAGTTTAAGGAACCTTTACAGCCTGCAGCTTGGGATGCATCACAGAAGACTGGGGGGGTTTTGGAGCACCACAAGAAGATCTTTTTTTAGCCACATTGAGTTGTTCACAGGATATCCCACCTCTGATGCCTTCTGATGCCTTCACCACTTCTCTCGCCCGGGGCCGGTGTAAAAGGCTATAAAGTCTTCAGTAAGTATGAGCTCACGTGAGGACAATGAGGAAGCTCACCTGGGTAGTAAACCTTCTTCCCTTCCGTCTTGTAAACAACAAGCGTGATAAACTCCTTGTTTTGTGCAAAATCCTCCTGAGGACAAACAGAAGAGGCGTCGTGGTCACAGAGCTACTGGCAGTGAGGTGAGGAAGTCACAAACGGCCTCGGCACCTTGTCGGTGATGTGTCTGGTGAGCAGCACCCACACGGCCGCCCCCCCCGTCGGGCACTGGACCTCCAGCTTGTACTGCGGATTGTTGGCCAGACTGTAGACGTCCTTCACCGGGCCCTGCTTCCCATCCCAGCTACTGCAGACCGAACACACACACAGCATTGAGCACCCGCACACCACCACACAACCACACAACCACACAGACAGACGCACCTGTGAATACAGGAGGAGTCTTTGAACAGGGCGGGGTTCCAGCTCAGGTAGATGACATCATAGTACTGACAGAGGTCCTCCCAGGAGATCCAGAAGACACCTGCAGGGAAATGGTATTAAAAGGAGACACATCAGAAGCACGTTCTCTGTAGTGACCAGCAGGGGGCGACTCCTCTGCTCCCATAGACGTCTATGAGGAAATGACTCTACTTCTCTGTAGTGACCAGCAGGGGGCGACTCCTCTGCTGCCATAGACGTCTATGAGGAAATTACTCTACTTCTCTGTAGTGACCAGCAGGGGGCGACTCCTCTGCTCCCATAGACGTCTATGAGGAAATGACTCTACTTCTCTGTAGTGACCAGCAGGGGCGACTCCTCTGCTCCCATAGACGTCTATGAGGAAATGACTCTACTTCTCTGTAGTGACCAGCAGGGGGCGACTCCTCTGCTGCCATAGACGTCTATGAGGAAATGACTACTTCTCTGTAGTGACCAGCAGGGGGCGACTCCTCTGCTGCCATAGACGTCTATGAGGAAATGACTACTTCTCTGTAGTGACCAGCAGGGGGCGACTCCTCTGCTCCCATAGACGTCTATGAGGAAATTACTCCTCCTGATTTATTCCCTCAGTAAACATGAGTTCATGGTCTCAATCTCTAGTTTCAAGTCTTCAATACAGCATGATAGTAAATTATCGCCCATGTAGAGTCAAACAGACCATAAGGCAGGGGATGCTTTAGGGCGGGGCGACACGCTGATTGACAGGTCAATGCCGCTTCTAGAGCTATATACTCAGAGGTGAAAGGAAAGAAAGTACCGTTGTCAAACTTCTGGGCTGTTTTGGGGTCAAAGTTGAGGTACTTGAGGAGTTCTGGCGTCCAGTTCTTCTCGTCTCGCTCGCTGTAGCGGCCCTTCCACCGCAGGTGACTCCAGGGATTCTTCAGCTGCAGGAAACGCATTCCCTACAGAAGAACACACACGGCCGTCAGGCCCCTCTGTGTACCATCAAAACCATTTCAATCCAAACACCAAAGTCACCACTAACAACACTTAATATCCCGACCTTGTAATCCCTGATGTCGAGAACGGCGTAGGCGTGGGTCGGCACCAAACCCCATCGCTCCCCTTCCTCCTCTGACATCACCCCCGTTGCCGTGGTGACGAGGACGTCGCCCCTGTGAAACCTGGGGGAGAGAGGGAGGGAAAAGAGAAAATAAGCCCAGCGACGGGGAGGGAAGAGAGTTCCTCTCTCGGTGTGCGCGTCGCTCACCTCTGGTAGAGCATGCGGAACGTGTCGTCCTTGCTGAAGGACTGGTTGTCGGAGTGCATGGCGATGCGTTCAGGGATCCAGCCAGTGAGCGCGTGCAGATCGATGTTCTGTAATGCCGGAGAAATTAAAACATTATTTCTTAAATAACCTCTTCGGATTGTGTTCAGCATTATTTCAGCTCAGAGTGACTCCAGCGTCAGACTTGTCGAGTCGGTCTACTTCAACGTGAAGGAAACATGAAACTTAAACTTTAAGCTCTGCCACACACTCTTCGGATTCTTGGTAAATCAGGTCAGCCAGTAAAAGAGTTTTACCGAGTTGGAGCCGGGGAAGTCGTAGCCTCCCATCACCTTCATGTAGGCCTTCTCGATGAGGGAGACCCAGAGCTCGTTCCTGTTGCTGGAGTAGGAGCACAGCAGCTCTCCGTGACGATCCACCGGCAGGAAGTCGTCTATGACCACCTGCAGAGAACAAAAGCACGGCTTTAACATCATCACAACTCGGTCTATTTGCACCTATATGCTAGAAAATTCAACAAATCAATGACAATAGAAAGAACAATAATCATAACTACGTTTTCATTGTGTTTTATCACCTAAAATATAGAATTGTTGTTTTTTTGTGAGCTCAAGAAGAAAGCTTCATACAAAATTCATATTCATAGAAAATTAGCCAATGCTCGTTATGGAGTCGGCCATGTTGCTACGGTAACCCGGAGAGACAAACCGCAGATTGGCTTGTTTTTAACGTCAGCTGAGGCTATTCAGTTGGTTGTCATCTGTAACGTCACCACCAGGTGGCGCCACATCACACAGACGTCCCTTCTCACATTGTTGTGCATGTTTTATTTTACTAGATATAAAACCTTCACTTCTTGAGCAGTTATTGTATATTTTTTCTGTGTTATCATTTTCCATTCCAGTGAGGAAAGGATAAATATGCGTGATCTGGTGAACTACCTGTACCCTTTGTCTCCACAAAGTAAGTGTGTGTGTGTGTGTGTGTGTGTGTGTGTGTGTGTGTGTGTGCGCGCAGAGCAAATTCACCTTCCGGGGAACTCCATTGATGTGAAGCTTGACCATGTATTTCCCACAGGGGTTATACTCCGGTTCCCCTCGTCTGTTCTGAGGGTAGATGACGCTGTAGGACACGCACACAAGTTGAAGCATGTCGCAGGTTCGATTCCAGCCTTCGGACCTTTGTCCCAAGCCGAAGTACGACGGTGTGATTAATGAGTACCTGGTGATGAGCTTCTTGTTGTAGCGGCGCTCGTAGGCCGCGCTGATGGCGAGCGACGCCACGAAGGAACAGTCGGAAACGACCGTCTGCGGGAAAGGAGCAGAGTTTTTAGACATTTTAAATATTACACAATAGAACTCTTACATCACATCCCTGCATACACGAGTATAAACTCCTCTTCAGACTATAACTTGACTAAAAAACACAAACAATTGTAGCTCTTTAGCAAGAACTGTAGCAAGTTGTAATTTGGCTTATTTGATGAAAGTGCACTTTCTTCTGTCCTGTTCTTCTGGGTTTGTATCCTTGAAACTCATAGTAAGTCGCTTTGGATAAAGGCATCAGCTAAACGACAATAACAGTAATAACAGTTCAAGCCATTTAATCTTCCCTGAACATCATGATTTGTGCCTCTGCTGGCAGATTTTAAACCGCATTCGGTGAAGAGAAAAATAGAAAAATCAGCACTCAAGCCACCGCGCCTTCCTCCACAAACACAGAGCGGAGCCACACGAGAGCCTCCTGCAGGGAACGAAGCCCCGCTGGACCCACCGACCTGCTTGATGCTGAAGCTGGACACGGACATGATCATAGTGGGGTTGTCCGAGATCTCGTCCGGCCGGACCCAGCGGGAGAAGACGGCTTTCTGTTTGGGCGACAGCGCCAGTTTCCCTGCTTTGTCCCTGTGGACGGCGACAGAAATGCAGACTAAAGCGTTTGAGGAGACGCTGGGACGCTCTATTCATATTCCATCAGCTGTGCCTAGTTTGATCAGGGCTGGTACGAGATACACCACACCGTCCCCTTCAAATGACAAAAGTCAGATTTGCTGCTAGAACTCCTGACTCTCTGATACAATAAATACTGAAACACAGATTAAGAGACTATTTATTAAAACAAGTTTTCCTTTTTTTTAACAACAAAATAAAGCTTACGCCTCACTGGCTCGTTTAACCACCTAAGCAGCATTCATTCGATTTAACACTGCAAAAATAAATAGATAACAAACTGTTAGAAATAAACTCACGAGAAGGGGACAGGGAAGGCAAATCGCTCCCTCAGGTCCACGCTCATGAAGGGCACAAAGGCGATGCCATTGACGGTGGAGGTGCTCCTGTCAAATTGGAACAAAAGGTCTGTTGTCTTTGGTGTGAAGTGTGGTAGCAGACACACACACAAAAGGTGGCGCGAGTCAGCAATCTTTAGTTTTGTTTAGTCGCTTCTCTCAAACATTTACAGAAACACACACACACACACACACACTTGTTTTCTACTCAATCGCCATAACTTCAGCAGGTGCGTCTACCGCGATCGGCTCACCTGAGCACCTCGATCTCGTCCGACGTGTAGCGCTGACCCGCGGGCTGGCTGGACTGGACCGCCCGGACCGGCTGGGGCAGCGGCCGGTCGTGGAGGCTGAACTCGGGCCCGAGGGGGAAAAACTGGCGAACAGGACCGCCGGAACTGGCGCCGGCGGCGGGCTTGCCTCCCGGGGTTCCCATCGCGTCCTGAGCTGGAGTTGATCTGGACTCTTTGAGCCCCTCTGCCCTGCACACGCATGCCGGAGATAAACAGGTTTTTTTTTTTTCTGGAAATAAGCATTAAAATGGAGGAGGAGGATGGAGCCACATCGCGGCCCGGAGGTTTTTACCTGTCCAGAGCCTGACGGGCCAGCTGCTTCAGCTTGGTCTGCAGCGCCTGGTCCGATGTCTCGTTGGACTGTGGGAAACACAGAAGGAGAAACAGACGTGGAAACAAGACTGCGATGAAGCGTAGTTAAAAGTGCAAGCAGGAGACATGGGAAACACAGAAACAAGACTAAACAAGTGTTGTAAATTAGCAGTGATAAGAGAGACACAGATAGAGACAGAGGGGGACAGGGGGGGACAGGGGGCGGAGACCTACTGTGTTTATGCACAGCTCCACAGCCTGAGTGTACAGTTCAACGGCCTCGTCGTCATTTCCCTTCTCGTCCTCCTCGAAGGCCTGGGTGACCAGGAAGTGGGCTCGCTCCAGGTCCACATGCTGCCGGGTCTTCAGCGGGTCGCTCTTCTGGGCCTGAACTGGGGTCAGAGGTCAAGGAAGGGAAAGGTCAGAAGAAAGTAATTATGATGAGAATCTATCTTAGTACCCACCATTATGACACGTTAACTCAGAATTCTGAGATGCTGTCTCATCATAATAACACAGTCCCACTCGGGGAGGTTTTGGTGTTTAGTATTTGTTTCTAAGAGATGTGTTAACTTATTATTGACAGGGTGTATCAGATATTTTGTGTTTGGATTAAGAAGGGTAGAATCAGTTAAGCAGCAGCACTGGATTAAAAATAAATATGAAAAAGTTCATAAAAATTGAATAAAAAAAAGAACAGGCAACAACTAAATGTGATCCACTCGCTAAACGAAACACAGACACATCAGGAAGTTCATCTCGAACGGAAACACTTGAGTAGCTTTTGGGAACTTCTCAGCTGTTAACAAGGATCAGCAGGAATTGAAACAACAACAACAACAACAACAGTGGATCCTGAGTCGCCGGTCAGAGGGTCGTACCGGCGTTGTGGAGCGCTTGGACTCGGTCCAAGTACTCGTTGACTTTGTCCTGGATTCCCTCCAGCCTGGAGCCGGCCATGCCGGCGTATATCAGGGCCTGGGCCGCCTCCTGCGGGGTCATTTAGTGTCAGAGCTAAACAAATTAAATACGTACGGGAAAATCACACATAAACGAGATTCTAGGACATCAAATGGTGCAACGGTTAATAAAAGGGAACGAAAACAACATGTATTAAACAAAACGAAAACAAAACAGAAAGTTTGGAACGTCAATAAAGAGCCAAGCACACAATGTAAACAGGGTTACAGTCTTTAGAACAAACACGAATGGTTGCAGTATAAGTCCATATGTCCATATGTCCTAGTTCAGCAGACTTTTGTCTCCTCATAAGTCAAAAGACATGAAGCCTTTATCGGGGAGCCGGTGTCAAAGCTTTGTCAGGAATGTTCCTGTGGTTTGATGGACACGTAACGACGACAAATCAGTCTGTTTACCTGCCGGTCTCTCGAGCTAACGTTGACAGGTAGCAGCTGTCTGACACCTGTCCCGCCAAAGCCGCTCACCTTATAGTAGAACACGGCCTCGTTGTATTTGCCCGTCTGGTCGTGGGTCACAGCCGTTTTGGCGAACTTGACAGCGTCGAGCTCCAGCGCCGCGCTGTCCATGCTAGCCGACAGTTAGCTTCCGCTACGTGTTAGCTCGACCGTGGGTTCGTTTCGCCCGATTCACCTGGCCTCATCAACTCTGACGGGGCGCAGCAAAGAGGATCCCGGCGAGCGTCCTTAATTCAGCGTCCAAACGAGCCCAGATAGTCTCTTCTGCACCGTTTGACAGATGACCGTTCTATTTGAGTTCTCTAAAAACAACCATGTTGTTTCCGGGTAGCCGCATTTGGCGCATGCGCAGTGGGGTCCAGGCGTAAAACTTTAGACCAAGCGGACGGCGAGCTGTTTGTGACGTTTTCCCCTCACGGGTCCCACGTCAACAGAACTGTGACGAATTATATTGTAAAGGCACGCGCACTTGTTAAAAACAAGTCCGATGGGGGGGGCTAGCATAACAGCTAACTAACTTGACAGTATGGAATGCAAGGACGTCATCTTTTTTTTTTTTTTAACATATCTTGCTTTGATCTCCCGTAGACAGAAGGTGTGTCAAAGGCGTTAGGCTGCATCCTTGCAGCCTCCGGCCCTCAGCAGCTTTGGTAGACCTGGTCTGGTCCTCAAACAACCGCATAGGCTGAACCGAGCGGTTTTTGACACGGGACGTTCTGGCCTACGGGGGGGGGGGGGCTTCCTGCTTGCGTCATCACCCCGCTGCTGCTGTTGCCTAGCAACCTGCTGCGCTTGACTGTAAAAGCCTTAAAAGACAAAAACATTACAAAGTACAGAAAAAGAAGATAATCTTATTGCATTTAATTTAATTTAGGAAGATACACTTCTCCTCCGGAGCATGATATATTTCAGGCAGAGAGAATAACTTGTTTTGGTTATTTTAAATTAAAATTAAACCAGTTAGGCCATGTACTTTCAGCTAAAAGTAATATTATATATCTCATGGCAGAAGAGATTCCATTAATTCTGTCGATAAAAAACACAACAGCAAACACATGTATTAACAAGGACATCTTATTTTTCTATTACATAGGATACAAGCTATTTGAACTGGAAGCTTAAGGATAAGATAAAGTCTAAGAGAAAATTAGCGAGTTGTCCATCGGGAGAGGGACATCGAAATAAACTTGACGGGCAACTTCAAGTTCAAGTGAGCACCGCTAAAGTGCAATTTTTATAAAAACATCTCGGGCCGTAAGACCAGATTTTCAGAAATGAAATACGTCTCCTGGACACACACGAAGAAACTCCAACGCTTCATTTGAGGCTTCAACTTAAAAGTTGAAAAAGAAGATCTTTGCTTGATGTTTTACTTGTGTGTCAATTCTGTCTGCAACTTTGATGACGTTACACTGGTTCCGAGTCGTATTTGTGTTTTGGATTTTTCCCAAAAATGTAAATTTTAGAAGAAATACACACAAACCTATTTAACTTCACGCTACAAATGAGTTGTAGGATCGTGTGGGACTGATTGCTCACCAATGGGAGTCAAATCATTTTATTTCAGCATTAAAAGGAAAGACAAAAAAGTCAAAAAAATAAATAAAATAAAACAAAGAAATTCACACAATGGAGATTAAATACTGGTGAACAAACCAGTATTTAATCTCCAGGTGCAACATTTAATTGAACAGAGTTTCTTTTGAGAGGCAACCATGGAAACCTACGTTTTGCAGAATCAACGGTTTTAGTGGACAGAAATGTTTTCCCGGGCGAGTGGGACATGTGGGACATGTGGGACGTACGACTCGTGTTCGGAGCACCTTTGGGACGAATGGGGTTACTATTTCCAAAAACCTGTTGGGATGAAAGTCTTTGGTAGTGTTTAAACATTTGGGCTTTTCGTTTGCATCCATATCACTCCAAACTGTGACAAAATAATATCTCAGCATATCCCACACGTCCTGATGGCAAACGCACATTTAAACGCAGTCAGGTGTAAACATGGTCAATTACTTCACCTATTTGAATCAGATTTATATTTTCTCTCTCTAGTTTGTCATAACGCCCCCGATTGGTTCCTGCGGTGACCCAACAGCCCCCTGGTGGGATGCAGCTCTGTTAGCGTTTCATCACACCAGCAATTACTGTCAAATCTGTGAAAGTACGACAGATACAAACACCTCTCTTTGTGTGTCTGACCTTTACCTGGACATATTTTAGATCCGCAGAGGAAGTAAAATGAAAGATAAATTAACCAGATAGGAATCTATGTTGTTGGTGAATTCAGGGAGTTGAAACACCTAATAAATAAAAAGCACTCAAATGGAATCAGTCGTGCAGAGAATTATATATTACCTTTGTTAAGTGTCTGCTCCTTTAAAAGCGCTCAGGGCCGCGTTTCAGTCACAGCTCACCAGAGGACATTTTACAGCATTTTCAATCACCATTAAAGAAAAAAGCCATGTGCTTTTACAAAAATACAACCCATCGCTCAGAAATGTCCACGACAACATAAACAGCATGACATTACTCCCCTTTTAAAATAAATGTACCAATATATATATATATATATTCTATACATATATATTATATATATATACATATACATGTATATGCTGCTTCTTCTTTTTCTCTATAAACTTAACGATACAAAGGCAACATGCAGGTGTTAGCAGCACATTTAAACCACAACAGTACAAATGCTCTTTGAACCCCCCCATGAGGAACTACGAGCTCAGAATGAGGAGTCCGTTCAGTGACTCGTGCTGGGTTCAACCAGGCAAACCGTACTTGTAAATACAAACACACTTCTGGATACATTGTAATGGTCTTCCTTTGGTTCGAGGGGGTTTGAGGTCCTGCTGACGGCCACAGCAGCTCCTCTCTCAGATCACTTCATCCCCCCCCAAACCCAAACACTCGGCTGTTGAGTTAAAATCAAAATGCCACAAGGGTTTTAAGGGTGAAGAGCTGCTACAACCTAAAAATCCAGATGACTGCGGCGGATTTACCAACACGACAACATAAAGTGCGTTTCCCAACATCCTCCGAGTTTCTTTCCTTCTGGAACAAATACGGTGTCGCGCAGCCTTTAAAGATGCATGTTTCACATCTGACCTACAACTACTACCATATCGAAAAGAGTCCGACAATTGTAAGAATGATGTGACACTTAGGAAGCTGGCAGAAGAAGCTGTGTGTGTGTGGGGGGGACTCATCTCACTTTGCCATAACAGAACATCCAAAAACGATTTAAAATGGACAAAACACACCAGAAGTGCTGCTTTGTGGAGCTGAAGAGCGTTCTTTTGAAAAGGCCTTTAAAGGGTGAAGTGGGGGAATAGAAGTCCGACGGGCCCGGCTGGAGTTATAGAACCTTCTGGAGGATGGCGTTGGGCACCTCCAGAGTCTCGTCCTTCACCAGCACGATGTCGTAAGAGTCCAGGTATTTGTCCAGCCGCTCCTCCACCTGCAGAGAAACGGATTCAGCATTTCTTATTTTCGATTTGTCCTTTTGTTCATCATTTAACGTTGAATGAAAGATTTTTAGATTATATTTTGTATCAATTAATGCTGCTATTTCTTCCCATTGTATGTATAAATATACTGGTTTTCATGGTTTTGAAATGCAAAGTTGAAATGTCTGTTTAAATTTCCTCCTCCCACAGATGGTCACTTCCAGTCCAGTGGATCGACGTGTGTTTCTTACCTTGTCGTTGAGGAAGCCGATCTTGAGGATGTTCTCCACGTTGGACACGCCGTCGGCCATGCTGAGGTCCCCCAGCGAGTCGCCCATGAGGACGATGTTGCACGACTCCTTCACCTGCTTGAAGTACTCCGTGTTGCGCAGGGCGCCGTCCTGCTTGTTGTACACGTGGATCAGCTCGCCTTTGAAACCCTTCAGGACGCCCTGCGGGAGGAGGAGCGGCCGTCAGACGTCGCGTCGCTCTCGGCCCGGAGAAGCTCGGGGAGAACAAGCACTCACGTTTTCGTCAAAGTCCATGAAGTTGGAGACGACCTTGACGTTGGGGTGGTAGACTCCGGCCTGGCGGATGATCTCCTCCAGCACGTCGCCCAGGCCGGCGGAGAAGATGAAGACGGGCACGTCGTGCTGCTGCAGGCGGTCAAAGAACTGCTCGTATCCCTCCCTGGAACCGGGCGGAAAGGGAAAGAAGGTTCTCACTGGTTCCACTAGACGTTTGAGCATTGCTGAACTCAAGATGATGGTTCAGGACTATAAAGCTGAGAAGAAGGACCAAGCTGAAGTTGCTTCATTCAAACTCTTTTCTAAAGCTTCCAACTTCACAGCCTTTAGAAAACATGAATAACTTTTACAATAAAGACACATGCTCCACTGTATCCCCGGACTCTGGGTCTAGTACCCACAATGCAACACATTGTCGGGGATCACGCACCTGAGCGCGGCGTCGGACTCTCTCACCACCTCCGCCAGTTTGTCTCTCTCCAGCCGCTGCTCCACCAGCAGCGTGTGAGACTTGAAATACCTGCAGACGAAACAGCGGTTAGAAACCCATTTATTGGACTTCCTTTCATCGGTCCTTTCGTTTGTCTTACCACTCCACCATGAACGGGTACTTCTCCTCCATGGTGAGGTGGGGGTCGATCTCGATGGGGTAGTATTTGTTCTTCAGCTGCAGCAGCTTCGCCCGGCACTCCTCCGTCACCAGCTTGCAGTTGTCAATGATGTCTGCAGGGAGACGGCGAACGCCAACGTCAGGCCTCAGGCTACAGACTCGCAGCCAAACAGACGCATTCTCTTCCACTGAAAACATGGCGGTCGTGGAAATGAAATGAGTTCGGCCTCACGTACTGTGGCACGTGGGACAGCGCTTCCCGCCGACGGCGAACTTGCTCAGCGTCATGTCGAAGTCGGTGATGATCTGCGACGGAGGCAAAAGGGAAACGTTCTGCTTACCAAGAGGGGATCATGTGACCCCCCCCCAGGTGAGGGAAACACACAGAAACACACGGGACGCCCCGCACCTGTAGTTTGGAGGCTCCTCCTTTGATGAGGCCACAGATGATCTGCTCCACCCTCTCCGGGTCCTTCATATGGACCGTCGCCTTCTCGAACTGAGGCATCTGGAGGGCAGACGACACACAGTGATGTAATTAAGCTGATGTTTGGACACAGACGAGTCATAATCAATAAATAACTTTTTACTGTATGTCTTTGTATGTATGTAAGCAAACCGGATATTCTAAAAAGAATAAAAAGAGCTGCTTCACAATCAACATTTAAGCGAAAACGCAGCGTCCGCATCGGACCTGCAGCCATTAGTTCAGTAATATTCGTCTCTAGATTCATCATTTAGATCATTCGTCCTGTCAGAACGCCGAGGTCAAAGGTCAACGCACCTGCGCACATTCACAAGGGTTTTACCACAATAAACAGACGTGGAATGGGACCAGTGGGGGGGAAAGGGGACATTAGTAACCAGTCTGTGTCCAGCAATGTGACCTTTGACCCCATCAAAAACTTAATCAGTTGGAGGGGGTCCATCGGGTTGAGCACTGCTACTGCTAATTATACACACACACACTCAGCGGTCAACGGGAGCGGTTGGTCAATGGACTGTCACAAAAAGACAAAAAAATGCCTGTACGACTATAAACTATTTATTTTTACTTTTATATTTATCACACAAAAAGTTATCGGGTGGTAAGAAGAGCGTCTCATTTAAGTGGGGATACACAAACGTAACCTGGACTGTTGGTGAAAGAACGATAACGGAGAATAAATTATGAGATGCCGAAGTATTTCAAAAATAACACCTCTGTTTTTTTGTCTTTGTGTCTAAAGCCACAGAAGACAGATAGATAGATAAGTACTTTATTGATCCCCTAGGGGAAATCCAGGTAGCTCCTGACATTATACAAACATAATATACACATACAGTTAAACTATTAAAAAGGATTATCAAAGAAAAGTTAAAACACACATTAAGAAGAACTCGCTCCGTAGAGGAATGTCCCAGTAAAAAAACACAAGACATCAAAAAAAAAGAGCGGATGTTTGGATCAAAAGCAGATGGTCACAAGTTTCCATGCTGAAAGGTCGAGGCAGGAAACAAGCGGCCTTGGACTAATCAATCATTTTCAAACGATAACGTCAGATAGATATCACAATTCAAGAGGAATACTATAGACGGTTATCTGAGCCGTTAGCACAGCTTCAAAGAGTTTATGAAAGCCACGTTTCTGTCAAAATGAGAGTTACAATGTTCGACACAGTTGTGCATGTTGACGTAATGACCCGCTACCCCGGATGACTGCAGTTATTGGGGAACGCTCATGATCCCCGGTGGTTCCCGTCGGAAAGGATAGAGTGCTGCACACGGTGAACTTTGTCAGCTTGCGTAACCTCCGTGCTAACCGTTCAACACCGAGCTGTTCCCAGACCAGTGGCTAGAGCTGCAGTGCGCCGGGTGACGTGGAGGCTCAGCTGCTGTCAGCAGGGGAATGAATAAATAAAAAAACCCGCTCGTTCTGTGATGACCTCTAAAGAAAACACAGCTGCTGTTTTTGGGGGGTTCGCGCCTGCGCAGAGCGTCCATGCAGAACTTCCGGTCGTGGTTTTCAGAATAGAGGGGACTGCCGCGTGTCTTACATACATTGTATTCGATTCCTGACATGTTCTGTCTACATTATATTACAAAAGCCTGATTAATTGAAGAATCTTAGATGTTCGCACACTTCTTAGCGCGTGTTACTAAAATGATTTGTGAAGTAGTCACGCCTGTTTTTCAAAAGTATGAATCCTCATCGCCAAAAATATACAGAACATAAGTCGTTGTCGATCGTCAACGGCCGCGCGCACTTTAAAGGTACAACTCCCCCACTTCCTGTCGCCGTCCCCACGCAGCGCGAGGCGCCTGTTTGTTGTCAGCTCACCATCTCTATGATCCTAGTTTTCTTCCCCGCTCGCTTCTTCTTGGCGACGATGTACTGGGTCAGAACCACGCCGCCCAGCAGGGCGCAGACGCTGGCGCTGGCCGCGGCTCCGACCTTCACCACGGCCGTCCTGTCCATGAAGGGTCCGCTGTTACTCTCCACCGGCCAGCAGCGCGCGCGGTCCCGTGGAGCCAACCGCGCGGCCAAAGATCCTCTACGCAGAACCGGAATAGTCACTCCGTTGGATATTTTGGCGACCGACGTATTTAGCTGGGTGATCAATAAAACAGCGAACACATTACATTTATACGTATGTAGTTGTAAAATCAACAATACATCTCACTTTAAGCTACCTGCGTTCTTGGTGTCCCTAAAGGCTAATTCACAACTTTAATATTTTGAACTGATATTAAACATGCAATTTAAAAAGAATCATAACCAAAAAAGACAAGTCATTCTTTACGTCACTGATAATGGATAACACCTCCTGCTGCGGGCTGTGCTACGGAGTGACGCATCTCTCAAATAAACAATCTTTGTCAGCTGCTATAAATTGTTGCTTTGCCTCTGACGTCACTGGCTGGTCTCTATAGTAGAATAAAGCTGAGAAAATCCTCAAAAGGACCCCAAAAAGTAAATGATTGAAACGTTTTGGATTTAAAACAAAGCTCTTTAAGTCCTGGGGGGGTCGTTCAAAATCTCAAACATTCAACAAATTATTTTATAATTTAATTACATGGCAGCATGAACCAAACACGCATCATAGAGTAAACTAGATTGCCATGCCCATCCTTAAAGTGACTAAAACACACACATGGAAACAGTTAAACTAAAACAAGACTCACAGACAAGCAGATCATTCATCACTAGATGACTCGTTTAAAGCCGGATCCCCATCATGAACCAGTTTGTTTATTTTGTCAAAATGAGGATTAATGTGATTATTGAGTAACTTTATTGAGGCTGCTTGTCCATCCAAAGTACTTTGACAAACATGAGTCACATACAAGCTAAGTGAGAATGACTAACGCTGCCAAATCCCGGGTGATCAACCCTCACGTTACACCACCTGTATGGATGGAGCAACAGTCAGGGTTTAAGTACTTATCAGGAAAGGAATAATAGCAAATAAATCTCTGTGCCTGCTCGCTGTATGTGCACACTTATGATGCTTTCCAAAGGGGCTTGAACAGTATAGACACAAGAGTCAGAGAAAAGTAATATTATTGATATTTATTGTGATTGAGAACAATTTAGAACCAGAACATTTGAAAGAAAAAAAAGAGCTATTTTCAGTTTTTACAATGCCAGGAGGCATCCAGACAGGACATATGAAGTTGATGTGTGTGTGTGTGTGTGTGTGGAGGTGAAACAGCCGTCATGTGACTGGCTTGTATGAGGGAAGCAGCGTTGGAATGAGTCATAAGTTGAGTCAATACGCGAGCACAAAATGCTCCGTTGTCTGAAAATGGATGGCTCGTCACGTGACCGGAGTACGTTCCCCCGACCCTGGCGAGGATTTTAATTTCCCCTTAAGCGAGATAACTAGTCTGGGTTGGAGAATTCTCGGAAACTAAGGATATCCTCACCGGCTGACATGATATAAATAAGTGAAATGTTATCCTTTTTCTCCCCTCACTTCGGTTCTGAGTTATTGGAAGAAAAGAATAGCTGAATACGCCTAAAGCTCCAAGCGCAGTCGAGTCCTCTTCGTCTTCGACATCCTCATCAGAAGTGTGTGAGTGTGATGACAGCAGCTACTCCACAGGCCGAACGCCCTTGGTCTCCTCCACCTTCCTCAGGGTCTCGTCCCACTGGGTGAACTGCTTAGACAGCAGGAACATCTGCAATCACAGGTCAGGGGTCAGTTTTTGCTAACGAGAGGTCAATGAGACGCAGAAACATCTGCTCATTCTCTTCTCATTTAGTTTGATAAAACCAAATAAAAATATTTTATCTGCTAAGAGAGCACAAGAAGTAGAAGTAGAATTATTGTCTAGAATATACCATCTTGTGGTATTTTTGATTTCACTAGAATAAAAAAAGGAAATGATAAAAAAAAGAAAGAAATGTGTACCATTTTGTTGTATTCCTCAAAAAGCTTCTTCACCTCCAGGGCCTGAGCTTCAGTTTGGTCCTGTAGAAGAGACAAAGTTGGGTCAACAGATGAAACACAAAGAGGCAGACGAAGAAGAGCGTCCGGGGGGGGGTACTGTTAGGGATTTAAGCCAGAAGTGCACCCCTAGTCAGGAAATTATAGTACGTGTAATAATGTTTAGTGTTAGAATTATAGTTTGTGTGATGTTAGATATTAGTTATTACATTAACATGTGAGATGAAGTGAATGCAATTTCAATCAAACACAATTCATAGTCATTTAAATCATGTAAACACTGTACACATTAACATTCTGTCACAATGTGATGTTAAAACCTGGGGACGGATGCCAATTGCCGTTCTTTATGGATTTCTCCCAATTTTATCCCCAAAAAGGGTTTTTTGGGAGTTTTTTCTCCTGTCAGGTAATAAAATGAACAACTTATTGCGAGGCAGCCAACTGAGGCAAATGTCTTGAGAATGGAACCACATGAACTGTTTTAGATCTTATGATGAAATGTGATGAACGGTGATCATTAATGATGGGTTGTTGTAATGAAAGTGTACTAGTTATAAGATGAAGACTTAAACGATGTATGCTTTGTTAAATTCACTCATTGGGGCATAAAGCCACTGTATCTACATTGAGTGCATTGGAATGTGAGGGACGAATAGGACAGAGAGGTTTCAGGTTACAGCTGCAGCATCACACCTCGACGTGGAAGGGACAATGGAGGAGGTGACCCTTTGGAGAAGAGGCCCAATGACATTCAAATGCACCAAAGAAGACACACCTCAAGAGTTTTCAAAGGACCATGGCGGGGAAAAGACTGTTAGAACTTCTCCTGCAGCCGCGTTGATAAGTCACTTCAGACTTGCTCAGAGGATTCTCTATTTCGCGAAATATTCCACTGTTCGCTTAGTATTTCACTTTGTAATTGTAATCCCTATTACGTTGTTCAGTTATTAAATAACTTTTGATTTTTGAATTTAAACGAATTGACTCATTCGTGTCCTCGTTTCCGGCCGGGACGAGAACAAAGGATTGAGTCCTCCCTCGAGAGCTTCCGAAACCTTAACAGTACCTGCTCTTTGATGTGGATCTGTGACAGGCGCTGGAGCTTAGTGGCGTGTTCTGGTACATCTGTAGGCATCAGAAACACAGAGCTAACACACAGCTAACACAGGATCAGAGGCGGCCGATACTGAAGGTACTGGAGACTGTTATAGATATGAAGAAAACACAAATAGAGGAACTGCTATCACACTCTTTAATTTCTTAGATTACATTTAACACAAAACTGCAGAGAACAGCATATTTTAGCAGTGGACTACATTTCTATATCCCACACCACCTTCAAGCAAAACATTTGACTTGCTAGATTTAGCTTCATGAATCGAAGACCAACTCACCTCTGATGTAGGTGCTGTCGAGCAGCGGCTGCATGTTGCTGACCTGCTCCAGCAAAGCAGCCTGGGAAAGCAGGAAGTCCTCTTCTGTGGGCAGACAAACACAGAACATCCTCACAGTGTTGTTCCTTGTACCGCATTACACATGATCACTTCACATTAGAGCAACAAATAATAACGGCACAATATAAAGAAAGCTGCAGCTTTAAATGGAATATGCTTCGATTGGATTCCTCGTGGTTCTGACCCGCAAGGATGAACTCCAGCTTCATTGCATCCGGTACAGTGATGTGGTCGGTGAACTGGGGGTCCAGGTACTTCAGCAGGTCCTCAACTACACCGCAACACCAATGAATATGATCAAGGACTCCACAAACACACGCAATCCTTTCAGTCTGTGATGTTCGATCCACTCACTCTTCTTGTGCAGGATCTTCACTCGTTCCCGCTTGTTGGCCGTATTGGTCAAACCAGCCTGGATCCTGGCCAGAGACTCCGCGCACTGCAGGATGAAAGTTCACCGTTTAGATGTAACGTCATTACAATTTAGTTCATCAATCTGTGGAGCAGGATGTGGTACTATACCCAATACAGCCAAATATGGGAATTTGCTGATGGATATTCAGAGCATTTTTTAAAGTCATGCAGCTTATTCTATAAATGTACCACAGATGAGTGCAGTTTCAATCTCATCATCTCACTAGTGATGATCACTCAAGTAATTCATCAATAAATCATGACTCAATCAGGGCGATACAGTAAAACATGTCCACCAAGAACCCAAAACAGTCAAGAGTCCGAGTTCTTCATGTAAATGTGGTTCATTACATTGCAAACGGTGATATAAACATTGGGACTTTTTCATCGTTAATTAACGTTATATTCCCGTTTTAAATAAACGGACTCGGTTATGGGGAAATAACTGACAGCTAACGCTAGCTAACGTGCTATGACTTTAAGGAGGCTCGTTTAAGCTAAAGTAGATAACCTAAATATCTGTTTGGCTAATACATAAACATATAACGTACTGGCACTATAACCCCCCGGGGGACAGAACAGCGGGGGTCATAAAGCCTGTTGTTGTGCGGCTAAATGTATCAAATAAAAAAGGGCGTTCACTGGATCCCACACACACAGCTACCGTTAGCTCTGCCAGGCTAACAGCTGGCTAGCTTCTTTAATAGCATCGTAAATAGAGGTTATTCTCTGCTTACCTTGACGGGTTTTCCACTTTTGTTTCGTCTCTCGCCGTATATCTGACTCTCCAGCGCCTGGAGACGCACTTCCAGGTTGTCAGCGTCCGATGTTTTATCCATTCTTCAAGCTACAGTTGACACGATAAAATACAGAAAGTAGTTTACAAGAGACGTCGCACGTTGATGACGCGTCCGCTAGCTTCAATGGGTGCTTTCGAACAAAGCGCGTAGTTTACAAAACGGTAAATCTTAGATATTTGGACATCAAACAAAAACAGTTTTTAAAAATAAAGATTGCTAATTTAATCAACGTGTTTTTTTTGCGTTGTTGCCGTTGCGGTACGTGAAGCCGGCCGCTAGGCGGCGCTGTTTCGCGAGCACCGGGGCTTTGAGCCGTTTTCCGGTGACAGCAGCGGAATGACAACATCGACACTACTGGCCCTTCCATTCCGGTCGACTTCAGCTAAACACCGACAAAAAGTAAGGCTCCTCTCACATCTCACATCCCCTTCCTCACACGCGAGACGCCTCTGCTCGTGGACAAAAACATAAATACCCAGGAAGCGAAGTTGCCATATTTGTACACAATTCTTTGCTTTGTTTTCACGAGCTAAGCTAGCTTTCTTAGCACGGAGCTAACGTCAATTTCCCCATTACACCTGCGCAGTTTGACATACTTCGAGTTAGTTTGGAAGGCGCAGCGCCTGAGTCACCGTCTCCTCCCGCAGTATAACTGAGTAATAACCGCATCGCCAATGAATAAAGACACACGCTGCTGACTTTAAGCTGAATTACTGTGAGACAACGTGGGACTAGCTCGTGTCGCACCGGCTTCCTCGCAGTGATTCAGGGCTGTTTGTGTGTTGTTGGTGCTCGCCCGGCTGTGTGTGTGTGTGTTGTTGGCAGCAGGAAGCCGCCGGCCTTTGGACTCCGGGGTCCGTGTCTGAGGCGTTTCTTCTATATGCGCCCCTGGGAGCAGCCGCAGCAGCATGGCAGATGACAAGGACGTGTTGAGGGACGTCTGGTTCGGCCGGATCCCGAGCTGCTTCACCCTGAACCAGGACGAGGTGACCGAGAGGGAGGCCGAGCCCTACTACGTGAGTGCAGGGACTCTCTCTCTCTCTCCCTCTCTTTCTCTCTCTCTTCACGTGGCCTCAGGATCTGACCTCCTGCACCTGCACTCCCCTTCCCCAAGAACAAGCCTCCATTCTGCAGGGTTCAGCCAGCTGACGGGAGAATAAAACCGCGATGTCAGCGTTTCATAGCTGCACATATAGTCGCATCTAACAAGACGCTCCTTTGTGCTAAAAATCCCTTCTCCAAATCTCTGCTCCTCACCACACACACACTGCGTCGTCAGATTCTCGGCAACACAACGAAGACGAGTCGTAGTCTTGAGTGTGTTTTATTGAAGTGCGCTGGTTTCGGGGCGTCTAAAGCAGGCGTTGTTCTCCCTCCCTCAGCTGCTGCTACCCAGGGTGAGCTACCTGACTCTGGTCACAGACAAGGTGAAGAAACACTTCCACAAAGCAATGAGGGCCGAGGACGTGGAGGAGATGTGGTTCGAGTATGAAGGGACGCCGCTGAAATGGTGAGAGAGCGATTGTTGAATGGTGGGATTTTTTCTGTTGTTCTCTTTAAAATTGTCCTCCAATTAAATACAGCAGTCAAAACCACGGCGGCGGTATTTCCACTCCGCCTGCAGCTCTTAAGTCCTTTTCTTTGGACTGGTATTAGTGCTGAGATCAGCAAAGATCCGACTGCAGGCACAGAGTTCAGCCACAAGGGGGCAGTGTGGCCGCACAGATGATTACAGTGTTGATATTTTTGTTCATTATTTATTATTGTATAAATGAGGTTCAGCCTGTTGTTACTTGTAGTTTTAAACCATACGTTGCGCAGCATTCTTGTAGGAATTTGAGGAAAACACGTTTGCTGCAGAGCTCACTCGATGGCGACTCGTGGAAGTTACACCGCTTCCTGTTTATCGTTTCTCGGTTCTAGGCACAATCCGATAGGAGTTCTGTTTGACCTCCACGCGTCCAGCTCCGTCCTCCCCTGGAGCATCACAGTGCACTTTAAGGTAACCCACATTTGAACATCTAGCAGCTAAAGAACCAGATGTTTCTCTGACAGGAGACATGAATGCTGGACATTTCCCCTGAAATGGTTCTGTAGTTCCGCGAAGAACCGTTTGACAACATGTTGGGACACTTTGTGATGGAATGACGTTCAAACCGGTTCAGTAGTATTTTCGCTCAAAAGGAAACTGGCTAAACACGTTTTGAGTCCTGTGTTTTGTTTTGCTTTTAAACAAACCACGTTGTGTTAATGTTTTTAAATGTTGCTGTTCAACCAGCGTAAAATCAATCCACCCTGCCAGATCTGCCCTCCTGCCCCTCAGTGCCCCCACTGCCCCCCAAGGAAAAGCAACAGTGCAGCTTTAAATAGAAACTCTTTTTCTCTCGTCCATGTGTCAGAATTTCCCGGATCGTGACCTCCTGCACTGCCCGTCCAGCTCTGTGATCGAGGCTCACTTCATGTCCGGCATCAAGGAGGCCGACGCCCTCAAGCACAAGAGCCACGTCGTCAACGACATGCAGAAGAAGGACCACAAACAGCTGTGGATGGGCCTGCAGAACGGTGAGACACACACACACACACACACACACACACACACACACATACATGCACTTGTTGCATTTCTATAAGCAGCTGCGATTAAGCATGCAAAGAGGTGACACACACACACACACACACACGCACACGCACATCAAAGGAGAAAAACCACAAGCAGCTGCTGAGGGAAGCGACACACATTCATTCATTAACACTTAGGTGGACACACATTGTCCCGCTGCAGCTCACACAAACACACACTTACACACAAAGATTGAAATACACACATACGCACTCGCACGCAGTTTTGCATATTGCATGTTGTAGCTCGCAGGTACACCTTCGTAATGAAGTCGTTCCTGCGTGGTGCTTTCAAAGACACTCTAAAGCGAAACGGGAGCGCCGTGAGATTCGTGGAGTGAAACGCTGCAGCTTATTTATATTATATTATTTATTTGTGTTATAATATCATATCAACAGCACTCCTTCATATGTGAGTGCATAGATTTGGCGCTAATGTAAATTTAAGTGAATCATAACTATAAATACATTTTCTGTGGGATAAAGTCTTTACTTTTGTGGCTCCACGCTATATCGATCATATATATCTTAAATAATGGAATACCAAGTCAAGGAATAATGAATAAAATGAATAGTCTAAATACACCTTCTTACATCACCTCCACCTCCAAGAAAAATCTGAGTGAATAAAAGTCTCAAGAAAACAAAACAACATCAAAACATCCGTAAACAAACTGATTGGAGTCAGTAAACCAACCTGTTCCTTTTAATTGTTAAGGCACATTTCAACAACACGACAATTCAAAGTGCTTCTCTTAAAAACAAAAGAACCAACAATTAAGAACATTGATTGGAAATAGTAACATTTCTTTATGCTTCCCGAGAAGCATTTTGAAGATAATATTAAATCCACTGCGCCTGCTGACCTGTTTGTTGTTGTTGTTGTTGTGTGTTTGCAGACAAGTTCGACCAGTTCTGGGCCATAAACAGGAAGCTGATGGAATACAGCAGCGAGGACGGAGGCTTCAGATACATCCCCTTCAGGATATACCAGGTACCAATAATCCATCTGAGCCCACTAGATGTCGCCCGAACCCTCCAATCAGACGCCAGCGGCTGCAGTCGGCTCCGAGTCGCCACTAAAAGTCCCTTTTGTTGGTCCGAAAACAAGACAGACGATGAGATGAAGGATGAACAAGAGACGGATGATTCTCACCTGCCAGACGGGGGAAAGAGCAGCGTTTGAGTGTTTTAGGGGCGGGGGGGGGGGGGGGGGTCCAGTGAAGTCCAATCCAGTTTAACGGAGTCCGGTCCAGTAAAGTCAGGGAGAAGATTTGGAAAACATTTTGTCTTTTGCAAAGATCCCAAATCTCAGCAAACAAAACCCAAAAGAGAAAAGGGCTCCTCCCCGTCACCGGGTCCCGTGGATGGACTCCATAACGTGGAGGCCTGTGAGGACGCGTTTGGGGGAGAAAAGGGAGCAGGAAGTAGAGTGTGATGGAACCAAACAGGAAAACATCATATGTGCCGATTTATTATCCAGCATCAAGCTTTTCGATGATACTCCACATTCCACATGTGGCTGCGTTTGGCCTTTGTTGTGCAACAGGGAGTCCAGCTGTCACTCAACGGAGATCACAAAGAACAAATACAAAAAGGGCCACAAACCTCGAACCCGCCCTCTCAGACGTGCACTTGCTGCAGCCGAAGCCCAGACCGCTCAGCTTTTCTTCTACTTTCACGGCCCGGATTTAAAGTTTCCACAATCATTTATGAGGCGACTCGGTTTGCTGATAATTGGAGCATCAAAGCCGGTTAAGACCTCAATGTTTGAATTACAAACAACAAAAAGTCAAAAGTCTGGATTGTTTTGTAGATGTTGTGGTCTTCTTCTTACAAGCTGTTGGATTACGTTGTATAAGTAAGTAAGTGTAAAGGACTTTGTCTCTATAAACTTTAATATTGCTGAAAAACTACACGATACTTTTAAAGCTGAACATATTTCTAGAAACAGAGTCTGTGACGAGAAAAACTCAAATGTGTATATAAAGACACAAGAGTGGAAAAAAAGAACAAAAGCTGTTTGGCACTAAATGACACACACAGAGACACACACACACACACACACACACACACACACACACACACTGCGGGTCCTTCAAAGGCAGATTGTGGTCTTTAGTGTAAATAACATGTGCTGTGTTTGATGCAGACAGAATTAATGACAACACTCGGTCCAAATAACAGAGGGCTCATTTCCGTCTGGCCTGCTGTCATCATGGAGACGAAGACACCTCGTGGGCATGGCCGTGTCCGCCTTATGTCCCCCCCTGTCCTGCCGCGTTTAAGCATTTATAAACCGCCTTCCAGTTGAGAGTTCGTACTCTTCCATCCTTCCTCCTTTAAAGGCCGGTTCACCTCTCGGTGACTGAGAGGTCGGAGGAATGCAGGTTCTTTAATGCTCACATATCTTCAGATGGGGGCGTGAGAAGGGGGGGGGGGGTACACAAACAATTACACAACATGGGGATGCTGGAAACGGTTTCTGCTCATAGTTCACATTCATGGACGGCTTTATTTCCTTCAGACAAAGAGTTTTAAATGTATTCTAAAGACATCTAAAAATCCACAGTGGTGTAAGTAGTGTTTTTCTCCGTGAACTATCTGAGATTATCACCAGTTTGTGGGTCTGAGCACAGACCAACAGCTCGGACGTTTTAGTAGATTTACAAAAACTCCATCACGCAGCGTGAATAATTCAATTCAGCTTCTGGGAACAGGAAGGACGCCAGAGGGAGGTTTGAATTTCAGTCTACAAGCGGCTGCTCCCATTGGGCGGAAACACTTTCTCTGCCCCCCCCTCCCCTGTTCTTTCTACCTTCAATTAGGCGGATTGAATCCTCGTGGTCAATTAGGCCCGACGTCTTCTGTCAGCCCCCCTCACACACTGACACCTCCGCTCTTGTGTTGCCGTGCTGCCGTGCCAGCTAAGGTGTCGCCCGGCTGAAAAGAAAAGTGTCCCTGTCCTTCTTTGTGTGGCGACCGGCTCAATTATTCACGGCCCGGCTGACTGTTTCTGGGAAACCCGAGAGGCGGCTTCACGCCTCCGCTGGCACCGCTCCTCAGGCTCGGGTACCGGATCCCCGTCCCGGCCGGTTTTCCTTTTCACAGCTCGGCGATGAGGGGCCGTATTGCGTGTCGGCCCTCCGCGTGACACCTCGCGTGTCGTCTCTTCCCCTCCGACGCCTTCGGGTCCGAGGTGTCAAGTGTCCCCCCCCCAATAAGTGATGATTCAACGCCGTCTTCCGTTGGGCTTTCGTGGAATCAAATGTTTCGCGATTTACAAAATCCTGATCAATGATTCAAAGAAAATGATTCATACACTTTTGTTTTTGATCTCTGGTTAACTTTGACTTTAAGTTACGCCACTCGTTGGTCTGAGGGTTGGTAGAGACCTGTCAATCAGCCTGCAGCCCCGGCCTAAAGCGTCCCCCGTTGTGTGGTCTGTTTGACTCTAAATCAGGGGTCTTAAAAGTGAAGAGGTCCAGTTAGAGAAAATTTCTAGAAGCAAGGGTCCAGAAGATCATAATGTGACTAAATAGAAGAATTGCATCAACATTTGCATGTAATCAATACACGACTAACAAATCAAATGAATTCAGTACGATTCTAAAACTCCTCGTAACAAATCCTCTCAATTAACTAAATAAAAGGAGGGCTGCAAGATTAAAATGTGAAAAATTCTGCATGTTCAAATAAAGTGCTTCAATTCAGAAAAAAGAAAAAGCCAATTTCTCCTTTTCTGCTTCACATAATAAAAAAAAAAAAATATATATATATATATTATCTCCACTCTCCCACCTGTTTGCTAGGTGGGATAATTAAATAAGGGGGATAATTAAGTTCTTCTCCTCACGTGGAGGAGCTCATTGAGCATCACTGCGTTTCGATGGGTTCTAAGATAGATTTATAGATACTTTATTGATCTCTCAAGAGGGAAACAGCAGCATGTACAGGGAATAAAATAGAATAAAAAGATACACATTATATACAATATAATAAGAGAAATATTAAATTATTAAATTAAATTAAATAAACTGAAACAAAAGAATAACCTTACAAAAGAGACAATAATAATAATTTGTAAAAGGAGAAGAGGAAGAGCGGCAACATCACAGCAGTACGGGGTTGTTATTGTCATTATTTAGCCTGGGATGATTTATTGTAGAGTGTTATTGCACTGGGCAGGAATGACCTCCTGTATCGGTCCTTGTGACAGCGGAGCTGAAGGAGTCTGTTGGAGAACGTGCTCCGCTGTCCCTGCAGCAGGTGGTGGAGGGGGTGGTCAGGATTATCCAATATGGATAACAATATGGATAAGCATATGAGGCACTGGTTTAGTGCTGGTCACTACAGAGAAGTAGAGTCATTTCCTCATAGACGTCTATGGGAGCAGAGGAGTCGCCCCCTGCTGGTCACTACAGTGAAGTAGAGTCATTTCCTCATAGACGTCTATGGGAGCAGAGGAGTCGCCCCCTGCTGGTCACTACAGAGAAGTAGAGTCATTTCCTCATAAACGTCTATGGGAGCAGAGGAGTCGCCCCCTGCTGGTCACTACAGAGAAGTAGAGTCATTTCCTCATAGACGTCTATGGGAGCAGAGGAGTCGCCCCCTGCTGGTCACTACAGAGAAGTAGAGTCATTTCCTCATAGACGTCTATGGGAGCAGAGGAGTCGCCCCCTGCTGGTCACTACAGAGAAGTAGAGTCATTTCCTCATAGACGTCTATGGGAGCAGAGGAGTCGCCCCCTGCTGGTCACTACAGAGAAGTAGAGTCATTTCCTCATAGACGTCTATGGGAGCAGAGGAGTCGCCCCCTGCTGGTCACTACAGAGAAGTAGAGTCATTTCCTCATAGACGTCTATGGGAGCAGAGGAGTCGCCCCCTGCTGGTCACTACAGAGAAGTAGAGTCATTTCCTCATAGACGTCTATGGGAGCAGAGGAGTCGCCCCCTGCTGGCCACTACAGAGAACGCAGCTTTAACACGGGAAGCTTTGGCTTCAGTCTGCTGAACGGGAGGAAGCCGCCTGGTTGAACATCAACTTAATTCGTTGCCCTCCCCCCTTATCTTAAGATCATATCGCGTCTGCAACTAAGGAAGAATTAAGGATTCGGTTCCCACCGGTTCCACTAATTAACACCTCTTCATTCAAAGAAGGAACCATTTAGTGAGATCAGCTGGCGTTTCACGCCGCCACATCGATTTACTACATTAAGGCGCTTTGGTTAACTGCTCTAAATCACCGGCCAGCACCTCGCCCCGTCGGGTGCATAAAGCGGGACGAATACATTGATATCAGTTGATAGATATACTTGTGTGGAAGACGTTGTGTAATGTTTGAACCCAGTGGGAACAGAAAGCCGTAACTGTCGATCGTCTAGAGTCTACTTTTAAACTGGGTGTGAAGGCCTTCACGCACGGAAGCTGTGATGAACAAATGAAACAGAGAATATGAAGTCCAGGGCTTTTATTGTGAAGGGATGCGAGGGTCTGAGGACTTCCAGACAATCGTGATCAGTGAAACATATCGACGTTGCGGTATATCATCTGAACGTTGCTCATCACAGCGTGGATTCTCCTCGCCAGATTGTTGAGAATTGGATGGTTTTCTCTTCATTGAGTTGATGTTTGATGCCTGATGAGTAAATTAATGTTTTCATGGCCTTTTATTTTAACACACGGATGCAAATGTTCGCTCGAACGCCATCAAGCGACCGAACTGTGACGCGCTTCGGAGGTTAAAAGAGGCACTCGAATGAAATCCTCTGCATTCGATTGGCCCGCTGAGAAGTGGGCGGGCTTAGAACCGAGCCGCAGAAGACTGTGGGTGGATTCACACAAACGCGTCATAAAATAAAGAGAAAGACAATTAATGTGTTTGCTTGATTCTAATTCCTCACAGACGACGAGCGACCGGCCGTTCATCCAGAAGCTGTTTCGTCCCACTTCCCCTGAAGGCAGCGCGCACACACTCGGCGACCTGCTAAAGGAGATGTGCCCGACGGCGTTACCGCCCGACGGTGAGTCGGCATGCACGCACACACACACACACACACGCAATCACACGCACACAAGTGCACACACACACTAATGAGCAGGAGTGAAAGTGCTGAATCACGCTGTTTTCTTTTACATTATGTGTCAGGTAAAACACTTTTATTCTGTTTTTTATGGTAATGATTTCATAGAGAGTCTCTGACACGGTAGCAGCCATGTTTTATTTTGGTAAGTAGCAGCCATGTTTTATTTTGGTAAGTAGCAGCCATGTTTTTATTTTGGTAAGTAGCAGCCATGTTTTATTTTGGTAAGTAGCAGCCATGTTTTATTTTGGTAAGTAGCAGCCATGTTTTATTTTGGGTTTCTGTGGCAACCGAGGGTCCCGTCGCCCTGCAGAGGAAGAAGAGACTAAACAGACTGTATCTGCAGAGGAGGAGAGAGGAAGTAGATAAGGAGACAGTGGTGTGTTAGGACAGAGGACCTGCAGGAGACTCACCTGCACGGGGGAGACAGAACCATTAGAACCCTCCCCCCCGTCTCCCCTCCCACACTGTGGTTCACCAAACAGCTGAAGTGACGCCTTAATACCGGTTGAAGTTATTTCTTGTATTTGGACGTAGTTGTTGTGACCCGTTTGTGGCCTCGAGTTCGTTCCATTTTGCCGCCTTCTGGGAACCGACGAACGCACAAAACCGTATTTGTAACGAGGACGTAGAGACGCCGTCCAGACGCCATCAGTCCTCACAAGCAACATTGAACAGAGCGCAAGGGTGCAAGTGAGCAGCTTCTGCTCGTCCTTGATTGTCTCTCCCTTGATTGTCTCTTGTCTCTTGTCTGACTCATCGGCGACATGTCGCCGATGAGTCAGACAATGTGGGAGTGACAGAGAGGACCGTCTCTCTGCGTGGGACGAGTTACGTCCACGAGCAGCTGCAGAGACTCCACTTGGACCCCCTCGTTGTCCCCCTGCTCCTCTCTTTGATCCTATCTGACTCTCAGGTGTAGTCTCCAACGTCCTCCCTGTCTGCTGCAGACGTCTTTCATGTCCTTTGACGTTTTAAACCCCCCCTTTACCCCCCCCCAGTGGAGTCTGCCCGCCCGCCTGGCTGATCCAGGTGAAAGTGTCCCTTTTGTCTGTCCTCGTTTGTTTGGTTTCCACCTCTTCCTTCGGCGGGCAGATGAGTGAGATGACAGCCGGAGATTATGGCGGCGTGTTTGGATTAGAGGGACCGGGGCGTGTGTTCAGGGACGGGGGGGGGGGGGGGGCGGGACGGGGGGCTGCTCGTCGTATTGTTCGAGACTTCAGAGGACGTCGTTTTCTAAAAGATATAACAAGAAAAAAAAAGAGGATCCGGGGTGATCCACGTCTCTCATCTCCCAAACTTCACACAAGCCGCTCGTCTGTTATGTCTGCCACAGCACTGCTGTTGAGGAACTTCACCGCGGAAAAACAAATGGGGGCGAGTTAAGGGGGGGAGGGGAGGGAGGGTAGAGGCTGGGGGGGGGGTAGAGGCTGGGGGGGGCAGGGGGCGAGTGGGGGGGGGGGATTCCCAAATCCGTCTGGCGCAAAAGCGGAGCATAGGGCCCCGGGTGCAGAAAGCAGACCTGGCGTTCCTGTAAGCGGCGGTCAGCGCTGACGCAAAGCGCCGTCATGGGAGCCAGGTGTGTTTATCCACGTGGCCGTCCCACGCGCCACGTTGCCGTGGCAACGGACGCTTCTCGTTAGCAGCAAGATTGGTTTTGTTTAACTATTCGTACTCGGAGGTGAGCAAAGAAAAAAACAAACATCTGCTGATCATCGTCTGGGAATAATCTGGAGGAAACCCCCCCCACGCCATCATAATCCCCCCCCCCCATGACACACACAACCACACCCCGACCCCCGAGTCATTTTATTTTTGGGACGTCCCACTCGGGAGCCAATAAGACCGCATCGACTCCAATCGCGGGGGCTCCCTTCAGAGAAAGGGGGGGGGGTCGGGTGAGGGTTCAGTGGCTGCTTTGATGCTGCAGATAGTGGCTTTCTCTTCATCTTCTTCTTCTTCTTCTTCTCATGTGCGCGGGCGTGTGAGATGTTCTCCAGACGGAGGAAGTCAGCGCGGCTCAGACGTCGATCTGTTGATTTAAAGCTTTGTGATTCTTCACTGAAATAAAAGTCCTCACTAACACTGTGAGGCTTTCACATATTAGTGATGTTATTTAACTACACTGATCAAAGCGTTACAAAGCGAGAACTTCTCCTTCAGAAGCTCGACAGTTTTACTTTTTCAGCATAATCGAGGAAGAAAGAAAGGAGAGTAGAATTACAACACGACACCAAAGGTAGAATTTGATCGTCCGTACAGGAAGTGGCCTTTTCTACATCTACAGTTGGTTCTGTATCTACACCCTCAGTTTCCTGTTCGCTTGACTTCAGTTCTGCATGTAAGCTAATAAGAGTTTGGAGCATCAAACAAATAGGAACGAGGAGTTACACTGAAAACCTCTTTGAGCCGCTCAAAGTTTCAATGAGGTTTTTATTGAGAAATATATTTCATAACAGATTTTTTTACTTCAGAAAAAAACAAAGCCATCCAGATATTTGCCCTTTTTCATTATTCCAAGCTTCTAAAGGGCTGTGGGAACCTGTGATGAGCTGTAACGGGTGGAGATGAAAGTGGCTGAAGATGAAGGTGAATCCAGCAGAGCGCCGCTGTGGTCGCCCTGAGCGGTGGTCGGCTTCGCTCGGCTGACAAACACGTCGTCTTGGCCGGCGGTCGCGTACAACTCAACCACAGTGTGCGTGCGTGTGCGTGTGCGTGTGTGTGTGTGTGTCAGCAGACAAATCGGCGCATTTATGTTCAAACGCCAAAACGTGAAGTTGCTGATAATGTTGCTCTGGTGGCTCCTGTGTGGTCTGGTTTTATATTTCTATTGTCGCAGTAAACCCGCGTGTGGGGATCTGATCCAAACCCAGCAAAGCAAACTGCTTTTTTCCCTCCTGGTTTAAGTCGATGTTTTGCTTAAAAGGTGACTTTCTTCCACCGGCAGGTCAAAGGTCACCGTATTAAAGCTCCAACCAGAGATGCAACTCTGCAACCAACAAGACGCTTTACTGGTTTATTTACTTTTACACAACTGAGATTAATTTAAACTTCCACACGACTGGAAACAACGAACACGAACAAACACGCTTTCACAATAAAAGAAAACGTGTGGTTGATTTAACAGGATATAAACAATGGACTTGTTTATTTCAACACGCAGGCATTTGATCCCAGGAAACCCCAAAATGGAGATGTTTAATCAAAGCTGATCACTCACAGATATCAATGTGCTGTTAGTAAATCACGGAACTGGGAAAACACCCGCTTGTACTCGCCGCCGCTGTGACACGTCGACCTGTCAAAGGGGCGGGGCTTCTATTCACGCGGCGGATTCAAGTTGTCAGAACATTGTAGCTACTTCTCTCTTGATTTATTCCCCCAGTGAACAATGTAAACATGAGTTTATCTTCTCAATCTCTAGTTTCAAGTCTTCTTCTTATTATGGCCCATTTAGAGTCAAACAGACCATAAAGCAGGGGATGCTTTAGGGCGGGGCTACGCGCTGATTGACAGGTCTCTACCAGAGCCGTATACAGCATCTCTACATCCTCCTCGGTCCAAATATGGTCACTTCCTGTTGGACCCAACAGCCTTGCGGCGGCGTGTTTCTCCGCCGCAGTGCCATCATGGCGTTCAGATGGCTGCAATCTGCGACCTCGCCACTAGATGACCACATCCTCCACACTCTCACTCAGAATCGCCTTGTTTCTAGTTGTTTTTTTGGTGACGAGGCACCAAATTCGGAGCCTAACGAGTCTCATCTGTTTGTGATCGCTGAGGGAATTCATACCGACGATGACGGCAGAATACGATAAGTCATGACCCCCCCCCTGATCTTATCGCTCACAGTTATTCTCGCTTCAGGCATTCTTCTCAGCAGACGGAACATGTGTGTCGCTGATGATTTATAGATGTGAGTGGGTGTGCGTTTAGGAGGGCGTGCCCCGTTGTGAATTTCCCCCGTTTCTCATAACCTGACTGTAAGAATACACCTACACCGCCCACATCTGCCTGCTTGTTGCCAGGCTAAAGGTTAGGGATGGGTAAGAAACGCCACCGAGGGACGGCTGTGTGTGTGTGTGTGTGGGGGGGGGGGGAGGAGGGGGGTGTGTGTGTGTGTGTGTGTGTGTGTGGTTTAGGGTTGTGTGAGAGAAAGTGTGTTTTCATGCTGTCATACATTCGGATCACGCCTTTTACTTTCTGTGCTGCTGAACATTTTCCAAATTTCTACATTTTCGACTCTTCTGAACCAAAAGAAAGAAGATTAAAAGAAAATAAACATTTTTACGTTGTGATGAAGTTTAATTAATTAAATAAATCGTATTCGTAGATTAAAAAAAAATCAATCTGTTGATGGAAGCGCATCACTTTGTTTATTTTTAAACTTTATTATTTTTAAATTAATTATATTGGTTTAAAGTTCTGATTTCCACATTAAATATGAAAAACCAAAACCTAAAATTAATGAATAATCACAATTGCAACAGTTATAATCAACTCCTTTTAGAGCACGTGAGCTCATTTCAGTATATATATTATATATATTTATATAAACATTATTTAAAACATATTATTTAAAGCATAATAATAATAAGACGCACTGAGATTGTAAAGCAGATTGATACGATAAGAACAAACTGAGAAGTGAAATAAATGAATAATTCAAATAATAGATTAAAAAAATGACCGTCACATTCACTCCTAAAGTCCTGAAAGGTTCTTCACAGAATGTTTATTTCCAAGAACATGAAGCTCTGTTGTGTTTCTAATCAAAGTGAATGAACCCGTCTGTCCACAGGAGATGGTGACAGTTTTAGTGCTTCAGTCTTTAAACACTTATTAGAATAATTGGAGCCACGTAAGTTTATGACCACTTTAGCAGAAACGTATGAATTAATTGCACGTTTCTGCTTCCTCCATGTTCAGCCAACCGGTCCGTGCACAGCCGTAATCCTAGTGATTCCCTAACCCGGCCCGCCTCCTACGCCCACCTCTGGCCTAAATGTGCACATCTGTAAAGGCCGTTTGCTGGTTTCCCGACATCACTTTGGTGCACGTTGCTGTTTCTGCCAGTCGGCAGCTGGTGGGCGGAGTCTCCTCTCAGGCCAACGGTTACCGCCTCAACCGTCCTCCTGATATTACGTGGAAGCCAAGTGTCACGTGACCCGCTGTGTGTGTGTGTGTGTGTGTGACATGGCCCTTCGCCGTTTATTCTCACGCACACAGAAAACCACTGAAAACACAAACAATGATTCCCACATTCGTCCTTCGGGTCCGTTCGCTCGTCTCGAACTCGGCAGGTTCCGAAGTGAGACTTGTTTCACTACAAACATCAACACACTCCGGATTTGCTTGAACTACAATTTTCCCCCACAAAAATAGAATTAAAAAAAAGAAATTGCCACTAAAAATGGATAATGGATTGTTTTACAGGTTTTAAGCTACAGGGATATTGTAGCTATATTTTTACTGCTTTTGACGCTTAACCTGGTCTTGACCTCCGTTGTCACGGTAACCCACCAACCTGCACTGCCGCGGTATTCATTGCTTTAAATAACGCCTATTGAAATAGATTATAGATAAAAACGCGTCTCCACGAGTCATGTTATGAAATTCAAAATGTTGATTGTAAATAGTAAAGTTAATTCTAACAATGAACTGACATTAAATGATTATTTCTGCATTAATGCTGAGTCACAAAAAATAAGTGGTAAATGGCTGGATCCTAGATTTCCCACAATGCAACAGGCCTGTGGTTTGACCCTGTTGCTCTCAGGGCGCCAAATCTCAGATCACAACCTCTCCGAAAAGTCCAGGAGGTCAAAACGAACCACCTGCGGTCGCTGCCGCTTGGCGATGGGCGGGGCCAATAGACAGAAGACCATGCAGGCCAGGGACGCACACACGCACGCACGCACGCACGCACGCACGCACACACACACACACACAAACCTACACACGCGCACACACTCAACCTGAAACTACAAACCGTCAGAGTGAAAGTTAATAATTTGAATCCTGTCAACGACAAACCAAAAAACAATCAACTGTCATCCTGCTCTGCCTCCCCCATCCTCCTCCCCCGCCTCCCCCATCCGCCCCCCCTCCTCCTTCTTTCTGCTTTTGTTCTAATAGAAGTTAAATAGTGCTTCCCCGTCAATGCACTAAATGAGTGGGGATTGGGCATTCATGGTGGCATAGGAAGCAAAGTGTATGTTCAAGTGTGCGATAAAAAGCAGTAAAAGTGTTAACGCCCCCCCGCCCCCCCCCCCCCCAGGTGAGCCGAAGCGCTACCAGGTGGTGATCCACGGAATCGAACCGCTGCTGGAGACGCCTCTGCAGTGGCTCAGCGAACACCTCAGCCACCCCGACAACTTCCTGCACATCTGCGTCATCCCCGTCCCCTCCGACTGAGGCCACGCCCCCCCCAACCCCCCCACGACGACCCGCCGTCACCACGCCGACCGGCCGGGGTGGGGGACTGAGGCCACGCCCTCCCCAACCCCCCCACGACGACCCGCCGTCACCACGGCGACCGGCCGAGGGGGGGCGACGGACTCTGAACCCGGTGGACTCTCCCAACGAGAAAGGTGAAGGCGGACAAAAGGACGTGAGGGAGGTGTTAACAACCCCCCCCCACCCGCCCCCCAACACCACGAGGACACAAGGATGAACTCTCCTTTCTCCTCCACCCGACACCACCTCCTCCTCCAGACACCTCCGAGGGGGAGAGGCGGCGGCGACGCGTGATGTTTGGGACTTTTTGGGGAGAGGCGCGTCCTGCTGGAGTTGCCTTGGTTACCACGTTCACGGATTGCCCCCCTCCTCCACCCCCACCTCCCTCCTCCACCCCCCCCCCCGGCCCCCGCCCGCCTGCAAACATTCATGTGAAAGCCTCCAGAAGCTTCTGTCTATTCGTGCTTTTTGTTCCCGCTGCCGACGGCGTCCTGTAACTGAAGGGTTTGATGAAGTCGTCCTCAGTGGGACGAGGAAGAAGCTCCTGTAGAGACACGACGGCGATTCCGTCTGTGAGAAGAGAAACGACGATGGAACCGCAGCTGGAGTTAAAGACTTTAGTTGACTTTCATTCGTCCTCAGCTTGAAGAGGAAACTTTCCAGAGTGGAAATGCTCCTTCAATAGAAAACACGGTTGAAGTAACGCGTCGGGACGCTTTGTTTTTAACTTGCTTTGCTGTTTTTGCAGAAGATGATTTCCGTCTTCTGAGAGGAGCCACATATTTTTATGAGATGACAGAAAAGCAAATAATAATAATAATAAACTCCTCAGCAGGTGTTGACGTCTCTCTGAGCAGATGGACGTGAAACCAGCATCTGGTTTGGTTTGAAGAACTGATGAGATAATTATCTGTGTGTGTTGGGGGGGGGGGGGGCTCCATTGTTTGACACGTCCTTTAAATGCTTTCATTCTCAAACTGTAGTTTGTGGACAGAAGACGAGTGAAAAGCTCAGGTGACCTTCGGCGGATCCGAGCGGATTGATGCAAGTTGAGATTTCAGTTAATCAATAATATTTCTGCTTTTTTTTTTACATCCGTTCACACTGAAATAAAATTTATCCAGAATGACTCCAAATACAAGTGGGTGGATTGTTGACCTGCACATTCTTTATGTGTTGTTTATCACGTGAAGAGCGGCGTCGACCTTTTTGACCTTTGAATCCTCGCGGTCAAATCAGGTTTTTACATTTCAGAGGAACCCTCTCAGTGGCGGTGACGACATGTTTCCTACTTCTGATACATCTGGTATCTGGTTTAACAGGCCGTGACCCCCTGCTGCTACCTCGCTTATACACACCTACGAATTAGAGGAATCAATCATTTCACACTAAACATTTACAAAATATTATTTAAAACAAAATATATTTAGATGTTTTTGTTGATTCATTGGTAATTAATTTTATTAATTAATTTTATTTACTAACTTACTATTCTGATTTATAAAAAATAAATAAATACATGCTATATTAATTAAATAGTTCTTGTTTAGATGTCTGTATTCATTTAAATCATAATTTAATTAATTTATATAATATAAAATATTCAATTGATTAAAAAAAATCTTCATTCAAATATCATTCCCAATATTCAAAAGTTATTTAAATTGTTTAAATGTAGTTTTCTTTATATATTTTTTAAATGAACAACAATTTAAACTGCTGATTTAAATGTTCGACCACTTCCGGCTGATTGAAGACCGGCTCACTCGTCCTTATCGCTCACACACATGTTGTGATTAGCCGGCTGGTGAAAGTGTATTTTTTTTGGGGGGGGGGGTCCCTCATCTCGCCCTCGTCTCTCTCTGTGTTTTACGGCCGTCGCCCGGCGCTCGCTCTTCATCTCCCGGATAATTATCCGTTAGCATTCCAGCTGCTAATGAGACCGTAAACTGCTGTCAGACAGGCCTGAGGCTGTGTGTGTGCGTGTGTGTTTGTGTGTGTGTTTGAGTATGTGTGTTAGAGTGTGTGTGTGTGTGTGTGTGTGTGTGTGTGTTTGAGTATGTGTGTGAGAGTGTGTGTGTATGTGTGTGAGAGTGTGTGTGTGTGTGTGTGTGTGAGTATGTGTGTGTGTGTGTGTGTGTGTGTGTGTGAGTGTGTGTGTGTGTGTGTGTGTGTGTGTGTGTGTGTGTGTGTGTGTGTGTGAGAGTGATGGCTCGCTCACGTCAGGCGCATGATGACATGAAGGGTTTATGGTGTTGAGTCAAGACCGAGGGGACAGTGTGTGTGTGTGTGTGTGTGTGTGTGTGTGTGTACACAGACGGCAGCTCTAGACGCAGTAATGAAGAGTCATCTCGCTGACACATTTATGGTTCCGCCCCCTCCCTTAAAATAAAGTCACCAAAACCCCCAAAAGTCTCATTGAGCTGCAAGAAACAAGATGGCGACGGACAAAATGACTTCTCAGCGTGTTTGTGCGTCCCGACCACCGACACTGTTAGTAATTTATACACTATATGTAAAGTTGTTTGGTAACTATAGCAACTATTTATTATTATGTATTAGTCAAAGGCCAAACTTTACCAAACTAAGTCCTCCAACCCGACTCAGTCACACACACACACACACACACACACACACACACACACACACACACACACACAGAAGCACAGGTCTGTGTGTGTGTGTGTGTGTGTGTGCGTCGGAGCGACGGCGTCGGCGGCCTCATTGCCTGTGAACACGTTAATATGAACACCAACTTGTTCTGCGCAACGACGTTTTATCTGAACACCAGTAAAGAATTCACGGAATGTTTCATCTTCAGATTTCGAGTCCTTGAACCTGCTCGCGGTGACGTCGTCATCTCTAGATTCTAGATTTGGATAACTGATAAAACTCACCGGCACTCGAGCCTTTTTATGTTCTTTCTTCTTCCTTTTAAAAGCTTTTCGTCCTGTGACTCAAACGTGTCACGTTCAAACTCATCGCGCTGTAACAGAAAGAAATACATTTAAATCACGCTGGATGTGATAAATATCTTCACCAACAACCCGACGGCCGACCAGGAATGTGTGTGTGTGTCTGTTTGTCCCTGCCAGTGTGACGCACAAACATGCACACACACACACACACACACACACACACACACACACACACTCCCTACTTCTCTCTTCTTCCTCGGAGGACGGAGGGATAAACGTCCATTTTCTTCACGAGAGTCGACGGCCTTTGAAGTTTGTAACGATCCAAAGGACACAGTTCACTCTCTCTCACGCACACACACACACACACACACACACGCACACACACAGACACACACACATTAATTTACTTTTTTTTTTCATCTGCTCTTTTTATGTACAAAATACTCAAAGCAGTTCATTCGTTGTTCCTTAAACTTTCCCTCCAGCATCATCAACGCTCGCGTCCATCGTCTCCATCCGCAGGACCGTCTCTGCTTCTTCTACAAGCACTTTTTGTGCCTTTGTTCAGTAAACCGTCCGGCGGCTTTTCTTCGCTCCGCACGCTGCATCGGCGTTGTGAGCGACGACGTCATCGCCTGTGTAGACACGAGTAGTTCATACGCGACCTCTGACCCCACTACGGCGATATGGTTCCCTCATCAGAGAGCTTTTAGGAGTTCTGAATAGAAATGTTTGGTCTCATTTCAATGAATGAATGAATGAGGTCACAATATGAGATGAATCCTCTTATTCAGGCGGAGACGCAGCAGCGTGGAACGCGATGTTTGTAACGCTCAAAACTTGAGTAATTCAGAGATTTCCTCTCATTTGTGTTACAAACAGAGACGCTCTGTTGTTCCCAGTCTCTCTGTCACACGCACACACACAGACGCACACACACACACACACGCACACACACACACGCACACGGACCAACCTGTTATTAACCCTGCCGCCCTTTAATAGGCAGGTGCTGAAGAGAGCGAGACGGACCCACAGATAGAGGATGACAGGAGGATGTGGGATGATGGAGTCTGGCGAGCTTTAACACTTTGATCTCTGTCCCCCACACACACACACGCACACACACACGCACTGTTGTTAATAAGCCCCGTAGCCTCGGGATCAGGACACGGAGTCGGCTACCGGACCGGCTGCTTTGTGTCCCTGGAGCTTCTTTCATGAGGAGGAGGTTCAGAGGAGCAGACAACGCTCCTCACGAGAGGAGAAACAGTCCCGTTACAGACCCACAGTCCTACGCAGTTACCTCACCTGCAAGAGCAATGAGATCAAAAGCCCTCGGAAGACAGGAGAGACGGGAGGGACGGGAGGGACGGGAGGCAGCATTGGGAGGCGAGAGGGGGGGGGGTCACTATTACATATGACTGTTAGGAAGTTTCCTTCTCTCGTTTGCATCGTCATCTGTTGAACTGAGATGACACAAATTGTTCGTGTGGATGGAATTGTTTCATTGTGTGTGTGCGTTTTATATGATATCAGTGCCGAGTGTTTATGTTGAAAGATGTTGTGGGTGAGGAGGGGGAGGGGAGAGGGGAAGGGAAATGGCTTCCCGTTTTTATGGCCCACATGTTAGCAGCTTATGAGCTATCTTACACGTCCTACTCTGGAGATGCCCCTTTGAATGTTTACCCCCCCCCCCACACACACACACACACACACACACACACACACACACACACACACACACACACGTTGAGTGGAAGGTTTACATCTTTCATGCCGGATGTTTTGCCCAACAACAAAGTTCTAAACAGCCGCCCATCAACGTAAAGATGAAATATGTATTAATAAACGTCCCCCTGCGGCCTTAATGAGGTCACTAATCATCATGTGTCCATCTCGTCTCATCGCGCCTCACAACGACCGCGCCGCTGGCAACGGATCGCTTCAAACAGCTTCGCCCACGGACGCGACGGAGAGGAATTCAAATGAAAAGGTGTCATCATATCTCCTCATAACGCCACGCAGGCAATCTGCTGCCTTCCTGCCTCCTCGTGAGCCTCCTCCTGTGAACTGAGATGAACCGCGAGGTGACCTGCTGAGAAGCCGAGGATGCTGATGCGAGGCCCCATCGGGGGAAACGCGCTGCTCCCCGACGGGGCCTGTGGAACATTTGGTGCTCTGGAGAAGATGTTACAGACGTTGATGTTTCAACTCGCTCAAACCAGCCAAAGGAGCTTTTGGGGAATGAAACGGGACTTTGGGGGGTGTTGGTGGGTCTGAGTCACCTGTCCCGACCTGTAACATCCCCCGCCCCCCTCCCCCCCCCCACGCCACGTCCCCCGGCCCCACGCCCCCCGCCCACGCCGAGGATGTGCTGATGCCGCTTACGGTAAAGAGAGACGCTGAGGAACGCCAACCGATTTCCAAAAAGAGTGTGGCGTCACTCTGGAACGCAGCTTGGAGAAGATGGGGGATATGTGTGTGTTTGTGCGTCTGTGCGTGTGCGTCTGTGGGGGTGTTGAAGAGTTTTGTTTAGTTTGTGGTTTCGTTATGATGAGAAACTAATGTGACGCGAGATGTCCTGAGACACAAATGACAAATCAGTAAACTGAGACATGAAAGGAGACAAAAGTGTGTGTGTGTGTGTGTGTTTACATATTTGTCCATGTAGAGCGAGCGCATGCTTACGCGGTTACTGTGTGACTGTGCCTTTGCATGTTTCTCAATAAGTGTGTGTTTGTGCGAGGCAGAACGTGGGCGTGTGCGTGTGTGTGTGTCGTCTCTGGAGCGTTGTCGGGGCGACGGCTGAAAGGTGAGTGGGTGAACGGCAACGTTCATCCTTCATCTTCAGGGGACCACGACCGAGCTCACAGACACTCGTCTTCCTCCCAAACGCACACACACACACACACACACACACACACGCAGCAAACAGAAGGTCGTACACACACACACACACACGCAGCAAACAGAAGGTCGTAAATCCGGCTGAAATGCGATGGAACGATGGTTGGACGTGCAGAGGGGACGGCAGCGGCCCTCTGGACCTCCTCCTACTCTCACCCGGGGCCTGTGGGACACCCCCCACCTCCGGAGGTGTCCGCCCCTCTCGGTCAGGGAGGTGCTGTGAAACCCCGGCGCTTCGATTGCCGGGGGAGTGGAACTCGCTGCGTCTGGTGACTCGACGAGTTTCCCTGGTAGTAATAATCCGACGGAGCGAACGGTAAAAGAGAGACGTGGTGCTCAGAAGGGAAAAGATGCTGAGTCAAACGGGGGGGGGGAGGACTTTTGACTACGTGGGATTCCTCAATTACAACATCAAATCCATCACCTCCTTTCTGCCAAATGTCGCACACATACACACACACATATATATATATATATATATATATATATATATATATATGTGTTAAATGATACACGTACATTTCCTTTCTATTGCTGCTGCTTCCTTTCCAACCCTGTGAAGATGTTTAGAGGCTTTTGAATTTTCTGACGTTTGCATTGGTCCCTTTAAGAAGCTCCCATGTGAAGCCATCCGCGTCATTAGACATAAAAATGTTTGTTGTTCTGTTCTGCGTCACCGTCAATATATCTTTCAAATGTTTTAGCCCACTCGGTTAGAAACGTGTCTTAAATTTAACTTTAAATTAAGTTATTTTGCATTGCACACATTTAAAAAACATGTTGAATAAAAGTGGATATTTTAACCGTCTGTCAGGAGCATTTCTGTGTACTTGGCTTTTTGTTATGTGCTGTTAGCCTGTTAGCTTAGCCGCTAGCTAGCCGTGAGCGCCCTTAAACAGGAAACTAACATCTCATTCAGGGGATATTTGGGATTCATTTTCCTCAAAACACGTGTCGAGGTTTCTCAGACATATTCTCTGCAGCGACACGGCTGCTGATGGTACAAAATAAATGGATTAAGCTTTTCAAAAGGAAAGCGGTCACCGGTGTCAAATAGTCACAGCGATGTATATTTATACGTTCACATCTTTGTGTAAAAAAAGTAAAAAAACACACAGAGCCACAGGGTTTAGATTCGAGCAGTGAACATTTATATCATAATTTACACCTTTTTTAAAACATTTTTTGCACATAAATAACTATGTAAACAGAGACAGTCCTTTGGGGAATTGTCCTCTGGAGTTAAAGCTCTGATCAGAGAAGGAGACGCTTTGGTCGAACATTAGTGAGAGAAGACGAGGAACCGATGATGCTTCATCTCCACGACGCTACAGCTGCTTCAGCAGCATCAAGTCCAGTCTTAATGCCATCATGACCGCTGTCAGTCACATTGTACACAGTGGCAATGGTGCAAGCTTGGTACTGAAGTTACAAAGGGGGGGGGGGGCAGTGCATAAAAAAAGAAGGCCGAGGTGCTTTGGTGTGTGCCAGTTCAACAAGATGGCGGACGGGTGGGGTTGAAGAAGAGGCCACTGCTTCCCAACCGAAGAATATTCACAGACAAACAACAAATCATCTACATCAAGAGTAAAAAGAAAACACTTCATCATTTACACGCACGCACATCTTCCCTTCTTCAGCATTTAGATCCTAGAGCCCCCCCCCCCCACACCCCCGACTTCGCCCTTCCTGCTTCTTTTCTTCTTTTTGGTGTGAGAGTTAAAGCCACGTGAACTTTGGTTACTAGCGTCTAGAGGGAATCCCCAAACCGGAGGACGTTCACCTCCCCGTTGGGCATCGACAGTGATGTGGAGAAATAAAAACACAGGAGTGAGGAGGTGTGTGTGTGTGTGTGTGTGGGGGGGGGTGGGGGGGTCCAGTATGTGCTACATGTTGGAGCCGGCTCCTGTTGGACCACGTGAGGAGCTGCACTCCAGAGTTCAGTTTTGGTTTCTTATTCTTCTTCAAGTAGCAAAACGCAAATAAATAGAAAGCTCCCACCTTTAGCCGTCCCTTTAAAACACACACGCTCACTCACACACACAGACACACACACAGACAGACACACACACGCGTCACATGCACACTGAGGTAACCGTTGTGAAAAATATACACAAAAAAAATGCCCTTTTTTGTGTCAAATTAAATTAAGTTCAGGCATCAGAAAAGGACAGAGACATTTGGGAAGCCATCAAGCACGGATGAAATAAAGCTCTTAAATTAACAGATTTATGTGCCGCCCTTTGGCAAGCTATTCCAAACTTTTCTTTTCTCTTTTTAAACCTGCTATGTTGGTTTTCTAAATAGAAAAAACCCTGAAGAGTGGACACCCCTGGTTCTAAAGGTCAGAGGTCGCAGGACTGACGGATGCAGGCATAGAGAGTGGCTATCTGCTGAGAGAAAAAACACACAGAAAACAGTCTTTTACATTGATTTTCCCCGTCAGTGTGACCATCCCTTCCACTTATTGCTTTTCAAGACAACAAATAAAAAGTGTAATAAATTAAGGAGGTTATATAACAACTAATTGATCCAAAAAATTACACAAAGACCTTTGAAAATAGAGAGCAAATAATACAGCAACAATGATGATAATAGCATTATATTAATTACATCAAAGGTAAATCCTGGTACATGATTGTCTCTAGGAAATAACCCTCTAAGTAGTCATGGGACAGTGTCTCTCGAGCCCTGAGTACGCGAGTCCCTGATAGGTTGAAAACCTGGTGTAATCCTGACGTCGCTCCTCGTGACAACCAGGTAGAGAATTACTTATTTACAGCCGTCGCTACCGGCAACCCCCGTCCGTCTTCAACCCTCTGTCCCTCGGGTTCGGAAAACGTCGATCACGCGTGGTCATCCGACTCCTGCTTGACGGTGACGTTGGCAGGAAGCGACAGGACGCCGCCGTGCCGCATCTTGATGACCGACGTCTCGCTCGGCGACTTGTACGCGCCGTAATCCGCCGACAGGAGGTCGGCGCCCTTGTGGTGGCCGCGGAAGCGGGAGGCCTTGAGGTCCGGCTCCCTCCAAAGCAGACCCAAGACCTGCTTCTCCAGCACGGCCTCCACCTCCGCGCCCCCCTGCAGCTGCTCCAGCTGCTCGGCGTGCTCGCTGACGTCGAAGCGCTCGATCTCCTCGTTGGCGCGCTGCAGCTCCTCCGAGGCGGTCTGGCCGGAGGCGGCCGGGCAGTAGCCCTTCAGGTGGAGCCGCAGGCTGCACAGGTGGACGTAGTGGCGGTGGCAGTGGGGGCACTTGTGCGGGCGCTCGCGGGAGTGGAGGCGCTTGTGCAGCTTGAGGTGGACGAACTGCGTGAACTTGGCCGGGCAGAGCTTGCAGTGGTAGGGCTTCTCCCCCGAGTGGAGGCGCAGGTGAGTCTTCAGGTTGCTGGTGCTGCTGAAGCGCTTGTGACACACCTGGAAGTGAGAAAAAAAAATACCCCGTCGTCAGCGCCTTGTAATGAAAAACCCTCAGAGTCGCTCGTCGACTCATCTGCTCGGGAGAGAAGAACATCGGCGTGGCTTCCTACCTGGCATTCGTGGGGCTTCTCCCCCGTGTGGACCAGGAAGTGTTTCTGCAGGTGCGCCAGCTGGGTGAAGCCCTTGTTACAGGTCTGACATTTGAAGGGTCTCTCTCCGCTGTGGACTCGAAGATGAACCTGCGTGACAGAGACAACACCTGCTTAGGGATGTTCAGATACAGCAAACTAAGGTACCAGCGGCAGTAGCAAACATCCTGCTGAGCGCTAACTAGTTGGAATGCTTTTCGTCTGTGACTCTCGCCCCTCCCATCACGAGCCAACCCGCGGTCAGATCCTCACCTTCAGGTTGGACAGCTGGCCGAAGGTCTTGCTGCACACGTTGCACTCGTACTTGATTTTGCCGTTCTGCTTCTTCAGCGGGTACGGCAGCGCCTTGTAGCCCGCCGAGCCGGGGCCGCGCTTCGCCTTGCTCAGGTTGATGGCCTCGTCGTCGGAGCAATGCTCGCCGCCGTTGCCCAGCAGGGCCGAGGTAGGCTTGGTGGGCACCCGCTCGTTGGGCGGCGCCGCGCCCGCCGTCGGGGAGCCGCTGGCGGGCGCGTGGGCAGACCTGTGCGGGGGAGGGTGGCCCGGGTACGGGTGGTGAGGCGCCGCTTTGTCCTTGAGGGAGGTGGCCGCCTGGAAGGCACTGGTGGGGCGGGGCAGGAGGAAATCTCTGTGGGCCGAGATGGAGGCGGGGTGGACGTGGTCGGGCATCAGGAAGCGCCTCCCGGCCGTGTCGGAGTGCAGGAGGGGCACGTGGGGGGGCAGGAGGCTGCTGTACAGGGGGTACATCCTGGGAAAGATTCCTCCCACGGTGGGGACGCCCCCGCCAGGGAGAGGGTAGTGATGGGGAAGGAGGTAGCGTGAGTAAGGGGCGCCCGGAGGGTAGAAGGATGAGGACAGGGGGGTGGGTGGCGGGGAGTAACCGGGGTAAGAACCCAGTCCGGCGGGGTAGAAGGAGGCTGGGCCCGAGGGGCTCCCCTGGGGGCTGCTCTCCGGGCTGCTCCGTGCCGACGGGCTGGGCGTGGTGGAGGACTGGTTGCCGGGGGAACGGGTTGCGGGGTAACCGAGCTGGCCGGGCTTGTGGCCGCCGAGGAAGTCCTGGGGGATGTGAGGGTGAGGCCGGGGGGCCGGGTAGAGGGCGCGGGGGTACAGGGGCCGCTCGGGGCTGTCGGCGCAGTGCAGGCGGGTCGGGAGCGGTCGGCTGGGCTCCCTCTTAGCCGGCGAGCAGGAGGAGGAGGAGGAGGAGGTGGTGCCGCGGAGAATGGAGAGGACGCTGTGCTCCCTCTTCGGCGGCGGCGTGGGGGTCGCCGCGACGGGGGAGGGGCTGGAGGCCACCACCGAGCGCTCCCCGCTGGTCACCTGCTGCTGCTTGACCTCCAGGAGAGACTGCTCTGAAGAGAGAGGGAGGCAGAGACGGGAGGTCAGCGGGAGTTCAGCACATCGAGATAAGACCCCCCTGCGTCCCCTGGGGGGCATTAATAAATGCCACCAACGCTTTGACAGTCAAAGTATTTAAAACACACAAACACTTAGCAAAGATGTGTGTGTCTGTGTGTGTTTCACTGGCTTAAGGAGCCCCACAAGTGACTCAGTGGGCCAATTAAGGTGACAGATTTGACAAATGAGTGTGAAGAACAAGGGCGGGAGAGGGTGCAGAAGACAGGAAGTGAGGCGTGACAGCTGCCTGCAGGCGTTGTGTGTGTTCATGTGAGTGTGTGTGTGTGTGTGTGTGTTTGTCTATAAAATCAAGATAAAAATCCAAGATGGTGGCAGCGGACAGAGCTGATGGAAGGTTTCCTGCTAAAGATATCTGTGCTTGGCCTCCACCTGCCCTCCACACACACACACACACACACACACACACACACACACACACACACACACACACACACACACCACACAAGTTACACAGAGGCACATGCACACAAAGGCCTCTGTCTGAGTTGTTGACTCTTTCTCTATTGGCGTTCACACACACACACACACACACACACACACACACACACACACACACACACACGTCTGATTTTCCTCGCCATGCACTATTGTTCCTGGGTCAAAGGTCAGATTAGAGAGCTTCCTCCTCAGTCACTCACACCTACTGTCTCCTCCACATGATGAAAGAGTGGATCAGAAGGAGAGAGCTCTCTCACGCACACGCACACACACACACACCCACACGCACACACACACGCACACACACACACAGACACACACTCCCTCTGTAAGAACCAGGCTAGTCAGCTAGCAGCACATCGCTAAATGGCCCCTTAAAGCGCCGCCGTCTATTATCTGTAAGCTCAGTTAGTGCCAGTCAACGTTTTACCACGAGGTCACGCAGAGGGGAGTGCAGGTATGAGTGTGTGTCTGTGTGTGTGTGTGTGTGTGTGTGTGTGTGTGAGAGATAACTCTTGTCAAAGTTAATCCCAACAGCCAGGACTGATGAAATTTGGTTGACCCCCCCTCAGTCGGTGACCCTATCATCAGCAGTACAGCAGAGTGTAAAAAGTGAGGGTTCGCCTTCCTCCTCCTCCTCCTCATCATCACCCCTCCTTCCCGCTTTCTAGAAAACAAACGAGTCGGCCATCTTGGAGATATCAATCTGTCAACACGGCCCCTCAGCCAGGAAGTTCAAGTAGTCAACGGGGGGTGAGGGGGAGGCGACTCTACCTCCCCCCCCACACACACACACCTTCTCTCTGGTCTTTTCAAGCAGCCGATATATCACAGCAAATGGCTGAGACACACACACACACACACACACACACACACACACACACACACACACACACACACACACACACAAAAAGGGTGAGAGACGAAGAGAGAGGAGAAAGTGAGGGAGTGAGACACCTACAGTCATTTCGCGTGCACAAACACACACACCACACACACACACACACACACACACACACACACACACACACACACACACACACACACACACACACACACACACACACACGCACACACACACGCACGCAGACAGTCGTCTGGTTTGGGTATGACTCCACTGGAAAAGAGCAAAAACCAGAGAGAGAGAAAACATGTCAACGCGTTGTCATAAAATACCGGAGGCTCCTCGGTTTGATTCAACACAGTAACTCTCAAATAAGAAGCAGGAGGAAAACAAGACAGGAACATGCCGGAAGGGAACGGCAGGTGGACTTGAATCACCCGCAGCCGTCTCCTGGTGTACTCGGCCCACGAGAGGACGCCGGACGACACGGAGGAACGAAGCCAGCAGGTGAAGCTGCAGGACTGGAGTCACCTCCGGGTCAGCTGACGCCCGCGGGGCGGGATGACCGAGGCGGATAATTAAAGACAACTCATCCACTGTATACACGCAGGCTGGTCATGTGGGGGAGGAGGGGGGAGGACCTCCTGCCGCTCTCCCCTCAGGTCATGCGCATTTGCCCCCCTCTGGACAGTGGAGTCGCCCAGGCTGGGTCTGCTGGGTCCTCCGCCAGCGTAACATCGCCATTACCCCCCCCCAGTCACACCTGGAACCCCCCGAGCTCGCTCGCCCTGTTTCCCTCCCCCCCGTCTCCCCCCCTCCCCTCTACCACAGTGCACTTAGACGGCTGCGTCATGAAAAGGTACATTTTAAGGTTTGGGGATGTGACGCTTACTATTTTCACACACACACACACACACACACACACACACACACACACACACACACACACACACACACACACACACACACACACACACACACACACACCGAGAGTTCTGCAAACAGTCTCTGCTCCCTTTATTGCGGTGTGTGTGTGTGTGTGTGTGTGTGTGTGTGTGTGTGCGTGTGCGATGATAAAAGCGGGTGTTTAAGTGTGTAAGACTGTGGCATTAGGGGCCATATCCCCCAGTCTGTGTAATTACACCGCGACTGACACACAAACACACACATACAACGACGGCACTGACAGAGATGAAAGGTTGTTGGTGTTGTGTGTGTGTGTGTGTGTGTGTGTGTGTGTGTGTGTGTGAGCTAATGACAGACCACCGTTCAGAGAGGAAGGAGACACAACTACACTCACACACCGTGAGACTTTAAGAGCGGCGACACACACTCACACACACACGCACACACTCACACACACACGCACACACTCACACACACACACGCACACACACACACGCACACACACACACACAGCCTGAGCGGAGCAGCAGGCCCTGCAGGGACTCACTGAGTTTCTGCATCATCAGCTCTCCGGACGGCGGGTAGTGGAGGCGGCGGGCGAAGTCGTGGCAGTACCAGACGAGCAGCTCGGCGCCGGCGGGGACGGGCTTCACCGTGTAGAAGAAGACCTCGGCGCCGTTCTGGCACGCGGCGAGGTTCTGCTCGGCCGCCGAGTGGGCCGGGTTGACGTAGCGCATCCAGTTGGAGCGAGTCTCGTCCAGGCCGTCCACGAAGTGGCGGAAGTCCTGGTCCTCGTAGATCTGAGGGAGGAAGCGACGCGCTTTAGGGACCCGCTTCTTATTCGTGCGACTTATTAAAGCGCTCCTTCCTCCTCGTGATGCTTCAGCAGCCGACTGACTTTCAACTCACTAATTACCCAGCGAAGGTCGGAGGAGACGAATGAGCGATCAGGAGCCTTGAGGGCAAATACCACGATGCGTAAACTCAGAAGAAGAAAGCAGCAGAAAAACTTTTTCTTGTTTTGACTAAACAGCTACAGGGAAGCGTAAAAAACGGAAACTGATAAACTAAAAGTGCTCATCAACAAATATCATATTTAATATTCTATTCATCTGTATCACTATGCAGCCACGTGTGCGTCCTTCATCTTCGTCTCCCTCAAAACAGACTGAGGAGAATCCTCGTTTATATTGACAAAGGAAACTTCCACTCCCCCTCTGTGTCTCAGCTCAGTGTGTGTGTCTGTGTGTGTGTGTGTGTGTGTGTGGGAGAGAGAGAAACTGCGATAACAGATTGAATGGAACACAACATGGAATCACTTTCAGATTTACTATCTAGCTGTGGTTTTGCGGACTAGAGATCCTCTCTCTTTATCCACACACACACACACACGCAGTGTGTAGGCGGTGGTCAGGTAGTGTGTGTGCGCTCGATGTCAGTTACTGGTAGTGATCACAGTGGGACGTGTGTGTGTGTGTGTGTCTGTGTGTGTGTGTGAGACGGCGACGTCACATCCGCATCACAGAGAAACAGCGAGACCAGTTTCCTGTTCCACTTGAGACGCGCGCGACGTCACAGGAAGGGGTCCCTCCGGCGTCTGAGGAAGTGTGCGTGACTGCGTGTGTGTGTGTGTGTGTGTGTGTGTGTGTGTGTGTGAACTCACCCTCCAGAAGTACTTGCGGTTGGCGTCCTTGGGAACGCTGTCGGCGGTGTAGGTCTCACCCACCAGGGGGCCGAAGCGAGTTCCTTTGGGGATGTACTCCCTGCTGCACACGCCGACCACCTGCCGGCAAGACACACGCGCGCACACACGGGTTACACAAAAGAGCGGGGATGTCTTTGAAGTGTGTGTGTGTGTGTGTGAAGCTTGAAGACAAAAACATTCTACTCTCCAACCCGCTTATCGTATCTTGGAAACGGCAGATTGCACCTTGATGTTGTTGATGTGCGAGGTTTTCTTTGTGTGTCTGTGACAACACACACGCACACACACACGCGCGTTTTGGACCGCGAGGCTTGCCGTAGTTTGTGTGTTTTCACACCGCCGCCATCATTAAGTCTAATTACATCCCATTGTACTTATAAACACACACTCACACACGACCGAGCTGTCAACACGGAGACGATGAACGAATCACTTCAGTTCATTCTGAGTGTGTGTGCGTGTGTGTGTGTGTGTGTGTGTGTCTGGTTACAGAGAAAACAAAACAGTGGAATCTTCTTTTCAACCCTCTCGGCGCGCCGCCACATCAAACCAGCGCCGCTGCCACCTCACAGACGTCCAGCTCAAAGACAAGGAAAACACTTCTGCTCCTCGTCTGATTCAGTCAAAGAAGAAAAAATGGAGGAGGACAAAAGAGAGGGATTATGTGGCGACCAGCCATCAGGCCCAAACACACACACACACACACACACACACACACACTTCACGCATCACTCATGCAAACATCGCTCCCCGACTGCAGCGGGATGGAAATCCCCGTCTTTCCCTCCTCTTTCTCTTCTGCCTCATCAGCAGGCTTTTTAAAATGCTCTCTCTCTGTTTCTTCGACCCAAAGCGTCTTTATCAGAGCGTCAAACGCGGCGCGTCAGCTCCTCTCTTGCCTCAGCTTCCCGATGATACGGACCACTGACGAGAAAATCCATGTGATCACACTCACGGCGTGTGAAAAAAGGCCCAAAGTCACGACCCTTTGACCCAAAGTCCCGAGTGGTGATCTGAAAAACACCGGTTATCTGCTCCCCGAGTCTTTCAGTGAAGGTGATACGACTTTAAACGGCTCTAAAAGAGACAGAACACAAACCAAAGGTACATGTTGACGTTTAGAGCCTGTTGACATTAAAGTGAAGGTAGAAACGCTGAATGCGACCATGAACATGGACGCGAGTCCTCTGATAGCTCAACTAACGTCCCATTTGAACTTGCTGCTTTTTTCATTTTTCATTCACAGCCCCAGAGAGGAGTTCAGGCGCACTGTTATCCCACGTCAGCTTCAACCTTTGACCTTTTCACCACCGGCTCCATCGACGACTCGAGGTTGATTACGAGCGCCTGATGTTCAGCCTGCATCACACAGCCGGATGTGCTTTCAAAGAGGAATCATCGGGGGGCGGGGGGGTCAAAGGTCACATAATAAACTCCATAAATCTCACGTAGCGGCTTACAAAGCAGTTTGATGCCTTTGTTGAGATGCTGAACGCTGCCCCCTATCAGCAGGCCCAGGTACTGCAGCTCCTTCCACACACACACACACACACACACACACACACTTGTCTCTGTAATGTGAACGTTTAGTTTCACGGCGAGACACGTCCCCCCCTCCTCCCACCCTCCTCACCCACCTCCCTCACCCACCTCCCCTCACCCCCTCCATCCTCCTCAGCCTTCCTCCGTGACCGGGATCTGACTCACGAGCGCACTGCAGATGGCTTCCTCTGCCCGAGTGTGTGCGTGTGCGTGTGTGCGTTTGTGAGTCTGACCTCCTTGCTGTCGGCCGGGTGTTTGAAGGCGAGGTTCCGGGGCAGCGACGCCTCGGCCCTGGTCGCCCTCCCGCGATCTGACTCCGCCTCCCACGCCGTGTCTTTGACGACGTAGGTGCACTTCTCCTCAAACTCCGCCTCCGTCCACCGCGTCATGTCCGCCTCCTCCATCTCCACGTCGGCCCCCGAGCTGGTGGTGGTGGCGGCGGCGGCGGCGGAGACCATCTTGAACCCGCGGTGTGCGTCGTCCTGCTCCATGGCGTGCGCCCCCTCACTGGTCAACATGGCCGAGCTATGAGAGGTCGCCTGAAGAAGGGAGAAGGAAGACATTGATTTAAGCATTTAAAAAGGTGCAGAAAGAAAAAAAATGGCGAAAGGGAAGGAGGGAGAGTTTAGGGAAGGAGAGAAGGAAGGAAAACATGAAAAGGTGAGAAGAGAAAGGAAGGAAAAGAGAAAGAAAAAGATAAAAGCAATGAGAAGACAAAGTGGGAAAAAAAGATAACTGGTGAGGGAGGAAGAAGATAAGGAACAAGGAAAGGAAAGAAGGAAGGAATCGTCCCAAAGGTGATAAAGAGTGATTAAGAGGGAGAGCTGTGATTATTATGTGGGCTGACTCAGTGAGGGGGGGTCTGACTAATGCTGCTGCCTCACACACACACACACACACACACACACACACACACAGGAAGCAGTTTGCTTTGTCAACTGTTTACGAAAAAAGCACTTAGGACCGAATGAGGGAATAATGAAGACGTAACGAGCGTCTAAGTGACGATGATGATGTCACGTTGATCCATTTGTTTGATGATCAATAACAAACGTTTCCCACCTCGGACCCCGATCCCGTCTCAAGCCTCGGCCCGTTTTTTTTTGGGGGGGGGGGGGGGGGTCCATAAAAGCGACAACATGAAATTGAGAGTGAGTCACTTTCATGAGGCCCTCGACGGAGTCTCATGAAGAGAGATTAAAAAAAGATTTGATCAGAAGATAAAATAATTAAAAACTTTTAAACGCGTCAACAGTGAACGCGAGTCCCTCTCCTTGAAAATCACTTCTCACGTTCCCTCCGCGGTGTTTACGGTTCTTAAAGAGTAACTCAGTTATCTGTGTGTGTGAGAGGAGATTATGACCCCCCCCCCCTCCTCACCCCTCCTCACCCCTCCTCACCCCCCCTCCTACCGGGGTTGAAGACAGAGGAAGGAAACGCTGTCTGTGTCTCAATGAAGCTAAAATTGGAAGCAGAGTGGCACTGCAGCGGAACCGGCAAATCATCCCAAACCCAGCGTGTGTGTGTGTGTGCGCGCGTGTGTGTCTGTGTGTGTGTGTGTGTGTGTGTGTGTGTGTGTGCGTAATGGGTGATGAGGAAGGGAGCGCCAAAATCTTTCCATTTGGGGGGCCACAGCAGCACAAACATAACTTCAAACGTGATCCCACCCAAGACACACACCTACACACACTTACACACACAACACACACACTTTGGGGAAAACACACAGCTCGTCCCACGCAGGCGGGAGACCACACGGACAATTCTTCTGCAGATTATATTAAACTCCAAACAGCAGCCAGAAAGTATCAGGAGGTTCCAACATTAACGCGTCTTTATGTTTACGGGGATTTTTATGTTTTGAGGCCTTCAACTTGCAGGAAAATGCTCTTAAAATCTGGATCATTAAAAAGAACTCCTCAGAAAGCAATCAGCTGAATTTAAAACCCTCTGAAAAGATATTTGAATTGTAAAAATAATTTCCAGCAATAAAATATAATTCCTCCCAGTTAACAGCGGCTGCTCTATTTGTTTCCATCAAACGAATCACTTAAAAAAAACTGATCAGCAAATTGAAAACTTTCTCAATATTTGAGCTCTCAGCTGAAGTCTTTGCATAACAGCTGCAACAACGAGAACCAATAGTGAAACCAAAAACAGAAACACATCAACTGAGAGACACAAAACTCCCGGGGAGCCTTTAACGCATCCAGGAGCCACCGAATGTCCATCTGAGTCCAACTGTCCTCCTCAAAAACTAAACGTAAACTCCTCCAAACTCCTCCAAGTGTGCAACGAAAACCAGAATCCCGAGTGAGGAGCAGAGCAAACAGCGCACAAGGACTCCGAGCAGCAATTAAACAATAAAAGAGGAAAAATACCGCAGACGCGTTTCAAATAAAACATTGTGATCAAGTCACAAATATCAAATAAATAGAAACAAACCAACACCAAAAAAAGACGAAAATCGAATTTAAAACGACCTTAAAAGTAGATTCACGTTTTTTCCAACATTTTTATTCTACTCACTGCTTTTCTGTTTCCTCATAATCCAGGAAGTTTAACACAAATTAACAAGTAAAATAAAAGTAAAATAAAAAAGAAGCACGAAAGGGGATCTAATAATCTAATTCTCTTTAAAAAAGTCCACCGGGACTCGCGTCCTCTCCCGTTCCTCCGTCCCACGTCCGACCGAGCGGAATAAGGGCAGCCGGGGGGCCCCGGGGGCTCCGCACTCACCGTGGAACTCTGGTCCCATCCGCACATAGGGGCGACCGTGTGTGTGTCCGTCTGCGTGAGGGTACACGGTGCGTGTCGGACAGGTGCAGTCCGTCCCGAGCGCCGGTACTCCACCGCGGGGCGTGTGTGTGTGCGTGCGTGCGTGCGTGCGCGTGTGCGTGTCGAAGCGCGAGTGATCCACTCGGCGTCCTGCGTTGAAATGCCGCACCAACGCCAGACGTCCATCTGACTAAGCCGAGGGAGGCCCCGCCCCCTCGGAACCACGCCCCCCGAGCGAGCCCCTCCCATGGGCTCCGCCCACCTCTCGCACAAACACGCGCCCACACAGATACACGATTCTTAACGGGGAAGCTTTCACCTGAGACCATGAGCTACACGCAAACACACACACACACACACACACACGCGCACACACAAAAGTTGTGTTGCAAACAGTGACAACACAACTTTTTCTGCCTCATGATGAAGTTTTCTTTCAATGGCGATGATGCTGGTGTGTGTTTGTTAGTGTGTGTGTGTGTGCGTGTGTGTGTGTGTGTGTGTTGGTGGGAAATGTCTGTTAGCAGCTTTAAAAGGGTAAACAACATATACGTGTGTATGCGTTTGTGTGTCTGTGTGTGCGCGAGTCTTTAAGGGGGAGCATTGAGTCACTGCCACAGGATGTCCCTCTCTTCCCCAGGAAACACACAAACAGACACACACGCACACACACACACGCACGCACACACACACACACGCACACAGCCTCTAGGGGGCAGGACGGGTCTGCTCTTATTTCCTTAAGTTTGTAATCTCTCTCTCTCTCTCTGCTTATTGTCTATGTCTCTCTCTCTCTCTCCACTTATTGTCTATGTCTCTCTCTCTCTCTCTCCACTTATTGTCTGTCTGTCTCTCTCTCTCTCTGCTTATTGTCTATGTCTCTCTCTCTCTCTCCACTTATTGTCTGTGTCTCTCTCTCATTTGGGTTTACAGTTTTCTTTGATTGCTAACAAGCGTTGTTCAATACTGAAGCCACACTTTCAAAACTCACCACTGAGATTCATTTTGGACAAACAGTTAATCTAACCTCCAAAACTCACTCAGACCAACAAAAACACTGCGTACATGTGTCAAAATGAACTCGTTCCACCGATCGCTGGCAACAGATTCTCATTCAGAAACACTGGCAGCATTACATCAATTATTAACTTTTTATTGGACGTTTGAATGAATGTTTGCATAGACGTTTATTCCCTTATAGAATAACAGATTTTTATTTTATCGAATGTACTAAAGCAAACGTGTGTAACAAGAAATGAATCAGAAATGATTGTTTTTCCTGCACATCTGAAAAGATTCAGCCTCTCCCTCGTCTCTGAGGCACCTTTGGATCCTGAAATACAACAATCACTGTAACATGGATCATCTCACCTGTTGTTTTGCCGGAAAATTTGAACTATTGACGCAACTGTTGAGCGGTGCAGATTTGTCTGCAGGCTCCGACCGGCCTCTCACACGGAGACCATGTTTAAAACATCCACAGTATTTCATCAGACATCAGCGCTCTCGGTCTTCGTCTCCTTTGTTCTCCTCACACTCTCCCTCACGTCCCTCCTCTTCCCCACCGACCGGTCTTCTGTGATCCATATTTCCAAGCAAAATCAGTTCCAAGCTGTCGACCTTTTACTGCAACATGGCGATGAGACTAAAGCAGGACGCCTGGTCGGCTTTAGGCTGAAATTGCAATTAGCTTGGATTGATAATTCTTTGATTTTCTGCTAAGATTTTCTATATTTCAAAATAATTACTACAGAAATGTTTGAAATTTGTCATAATTCTGATTTGAATGTGCTTTTATCAGTTTTGATATGAAAAATATCCTGCAAATATACAGTTGTTTGCTGTTTGTGGAGAATGAATGACAAAAGTGTTTGTGGATTTTGAAAAATGCAGCGATTGATGCATTTTGTCTAAAAGCAATGAAAGATGATTCACAGTTCGGTCCGTATACACTTTGTGTGTCGCTGAATATGTGAAGGGTTTATAAAATGTGGTTTGAGTATTGAACAATGCTTGTTAGCAATTGAAAAGAACTGTAAATATGGGAAATAATTAAGCAAAGGATTAACATTACTCAACTTAAAATTTTAAAATTCTTAAAATCTTAAAATTTGGGATAACTGAAGAAAACGCTGCAGATAAAAATTCCAGTTTTGCTGCAATTTTAAATAAAATGAAAATCCTTCTCTGCCCGTTTCATCCTCTCTCTTTCTAAAGTGACATAATTGCAAGTCTCCAATTTAAACGTAAATGATCTTTATTGTGCTACATGCTTACGAACAAAGAGATGATCTCAATCCTAATAAATGAAACTACTAACTAAGCAGTAACCTCCCCGCTGCACATCCCATAACGTTCTCATTCTAATGATGATCATTTCTTTGTGTCACCTTTAAGGACCAATAAACATGATGTTGGTCACATTTAATAAGCCGAGCGTGAGGGGAGGAGGTGTCAGAGGGTAACGAGCCTCATCACTGATGAACCCAATGATCGGCTGGCGATCAATGAGCGGCTATTGATCTGATGTGAGAATAAGAGATATGATTGTCTCTTTGTTATATTAAACAGCCCCCTCTCTCTCTCTCTGTTGTAACAAAAGCTCTCTCACTCACTAACACTGGAAATTCCCAACTAATTGTCCCCCGACTCCCTCAATTTGCCTCCTACTCACCCCCCTCCCTCCCGTCTCCCCCCTTTCCCTTTGATTTGCCCGCACTATTTATAAAAATGATTTCACACAGACCTCTCTCTCTCTCTCTGTCTCTCTAGAGTTAGTTCACTTATCTGCTTCTTTCTATTCTCTCAACCCTCTAGATGATATGTACATATCGATATGTCTACAGATAGATAAATGTATATATATATATGTGTGTAAGACGGTTGGACAGGAATCAAATCCAATATTGGTCGTGAAAAAAGGCCTGTTTGAAAACAAGAATTTAAATGTGGAAATAAAAATGGTAAAAGTCACCTGAAGGTTTCCTGCAGGGAGACTCTGGTTCCATTGAAAAACCGTTAGATTTAATGCAGTCAGATTCTGTTGATCATTCATTCCTTTACAGCACATTAGCAGACGATGCTCTGAACCCCACCGGATTCTAACGCACTTTACCGAATGCAAATAACATAAAACACAATGCAGATTTCAGAGACATTACAGTTTGTCCTCAGAAATGAAGCCAAACGGAGTAAAAACTTCTTCAGCCTCCAGAAGCCAAATGAGCCTCTGACTGAGTTCTTCTTCTTCTCTTGTGAAGAAGAACAATGAACGGGAAAATAAAACAAGCAACAGGAAGGAGAGAAGAAGAAGAAGAGAGAAGGACACGGGACCTCTCTGTCTCTGTCTGTCTCTGTCTGTCTCTGTCTCTCTCTGGTGACAGAGGGTCTGACCACATCACTCGCTGCCTACTGCTTCCTGCCAACAGACGACCCCGACACACACTCACAGACACACACACACACACACACACACACACACACACAGCTGCGGATCTGTCCCACAGCTGTTGGACATGTTGATGCGTTGCAACCGAGCATCCCTCCTTCTGCAAACACCAGAGAGGAGGAACACGAGCTCTGGAAGCACATGAGCTGATGTATGGACCTGTGCACACACACACACACACACACACACACACACACACACACACACACACACACACACACACACACACACATAAATGACTATTAAACATCTGTCAACATAGTTGATCAAGAGAAACATCTACGTTTGTCTTTTATTCTGTTCACATAAACGTCTCAAGATTGTTAAAGTAAAGTACGTGTTAGCAACTAGATCACTCAGAGATTCAATTAACTTCATCAACATTAACCGGCTCCTTGTGAGGGCGGAGCTTTGCTAATTTTTATACGTCACGTAAACACATAACTGTCATTCACGGGCCGCTCGCCCTGCTCTTCTTCTTCTGACCCCACGAAGGTGTCGTTATGTACATTATCTGTGCTTTGCAGAAGCGTTTCCCCTAACGCTTTAGGGGCGGGGCCACACGCTGAGTGACAGGTCCACCGGAGAGGGACAGGGTGTCTCTACGTCCTCCTCGTTCCAAATATGGTCAACTTCCTGTTCACCGGTTGCAAAAACCCAACGACGCAACGACGGCCGCATTCCAAGAGGCCGATGGCGAAATCCCTGAACTCCGCCCCCCCACTCCTCCCCCCACGCTCACGCAGTGACACATCACAGCCCCAAATGCAAGCCAATTAGCTCGGGGGTATCTTCAGCCGGCCTGGGGGGGGGGGCAGTTGGTGTATATGAGAGAGTTTACTCCCCCCTAAACACAAACTGCTCTGAAGTCACATTGAAATGTGTCTTTTTGTTTCTGCGGTTGCCCAGCATGCATGCCTGCAGGAGACGGGGGGGGGGGGGGGACCACCTGGGTGTCTGTTAGTTTAACAGAGGCCTCTATCACACACACACACACACACACACACACACACACACTTACAATCACACACATACAAGTGCACAGAAACACACCTTTCTCCAAACGTTCCACTGCGCTTAGCCGTTGTAGCCACAGAAATCGGCTCCCCCAATCTGAGGGCTTTTCAAAATAAAAGAGGTGAGGATGAGGAGGAGGCGAGAGTATAAGGGGGGAGGTGGAGGGAGAGGAGGAGGGAGAGTATAAGGGGGGAGGTGGAGGGAGAGGAGGAGGGAGAGTGAAGTCGAGAGAGGAGAAAGCAGAGAGAGGTGGGGCTTCGGGGGGCTGCAGGTGGGATCGACATTCCTCAACGTGGACTTCAACATCGGCTTCATGCCGGCTACACTTGTTGCGTTCAGTCCGTCTGCGTTGCGTTGCATTGTGTTGTGTTGTGTTGTGTTGCGTAGTGTTGTGTTGTGTTGTGTTGTGTTGTGTTGTGATTGGACCCACAGAGGATTGTTCACTGTTTGTATTCCATGATACTTTTCTTCTTCACCGGATCCTTTAAAACACTAAAAACATGCGTACGGAGATGCCAGGTAGAGCGTCTCACACTCTTTCCTCTTCTTTCTCCCCCCTCCTCCTCCTCCTCCTCCTCCTCCTCCTCCCTTCCCATCTTCCCCCGTTCACTCCCTTGAGTCCCATTTTAATTGCAGCCCAGAGGCCATTTGATTCCTCGCCAAATCACTGCGAAGAGATCAGCTATT